TACCATAGCAAAATCATTGTTCCTCATCCGTTTCTAATAAGCGAATGGAATGAACGAGCGAATGTTAATGGGACCAAACACGGCATTTAGAAGTTGTTTTTTTTACTACCATTTTTTGTTGTTTCTTTTTTTTTTTTGGTTTTGTTGAAAAATTGTTTAAACGACATTTTGGGCATTCATATGCAAATTTTTGATGGCCAAATTATCGAGCAATATCTCAGTTGTGGCCCTTTTGTAAATTTAATAAATTTGTTTTTATATACCTCGTTGCTTCGACTATTTTCTTGGAAGTTGTCATTAAGTCGTCGGATTACGATGCTCTTGTCTAATTTGACAGGCAGCTGCTATTAATTGCTGTTTGACAAGCAATTCGTTAAAAAGGCAACCGAAATAAAATAAAACACATGCCGTATGCAAATTGCACAGACAAAAATACTGATTCGGAAACCGAGTCGAAGCTGCGAGGCTAAAGAAATTGAAGAAGCTGAAGAAGCTGAAGATGCTGTAAATGCTGTAGATGCCACTCAGTTCAAGTTGGGCATCACAATAAATGTTCGAGCAGTAAGAAACACATGTAACGCGTGTTGAAATGAGCTTTTAAATGCCTCAGCCTTGGCTGTGAAACGAACGCCTCAGTTTGGCATGCACTCAGAAAATAAACTAAAACTCATATTTTGTAAAATAAGCCATAATTCAAATCGCCCTTAAAAATAAATATATTCTCTTGTTTTTAGAAATAATTTAAAAAATACAAAGAATATTGGTTAATATTAGAAATGCGCTTTTGCTATTTTTCAGCAGTATATTTCTTAACAATAAACCCCACATTTACTTTGGAAAAAGTTCATTGGCAAGTTGAGAAAATAGAAGTGATTTTAAATTGAATTCAGATCTAAATTTTTTTCTTATTAAAATTAAATAAATATATAAATGAATAAAATATCTCAAATATGTACAATTTCTAATTTAATATGGCAATGCAAATAAAACAAAATTTGATTAACAGACTTTCAAGCTTTTTTTCAGAAATAATAACTAAGTTGCGCTGCAAAAACATTGTTTTATTATAAATTGAATTTAATATTAGAAAAACTCGTTTGCTTATAGCAGCTTAAAATGTCGGTGTATGTTAAAAATAAAATTCTAATGCTTAATAATAATTAATAGAAATAGAAAACTTATTTAAAAGTTCATTTCATACAGTAAAAAAAAAATAACATGGAAATTATAGATATTTTTTTTTATAAATTTGTAAGAAACAAAGCCTGGAATTATGAAAAGAAAAAAACTTGGTTTTGGAAAGAAATAAAATAGCATTTTCGAAATATGTTTTGCGAGAAAAATCTGAGCTGCACTTGGAAGTTTTTTTGAAAAAAAATGATGCTGGTATAAATAGTTTTCTCTGAGTGTGTGCCGCTGATACATTGTATGAATGTTGCCGCTGACGTGCGTAACAAATGCAAATGGCCACAATCGAAAATCGAGAATCGTCTAGGGTTTCCCAGAAAACAAAATGCACATCATTAGTTCGCCCAGCTTCTTCATTCAATACGTACGTGGCCAGTGATTCTGCCCTGGCACGCGATTACCGCGATTCACGTTTCTCACCCCACAGCAGCAGATGCAGATACAAATACACCCACACGCACACAGATACATTTCAAGTGTGTTTGTGTGTGTTGTGTTGTTTTTGTTTACATACGTACGCCATGCTATTTTTACATTGCACAGCGCGCAAGTTCTTTCAATTCCAAACATTTTGTATTTTTCTAGCTAATTTACTCGTTGCTCTGCTTTTTATTGAACAGCCGGGGCATATTTATTGATGATATGACCACACCTATTTTATGAGCTCACCCAGCCAGCCAGCCAGCCATCCAACCAGACAGACAGCCAGACAAACTGACAGACAGCGAGTCAGTCAGACAGGCAGACAGGCAGACAGGCAAACAATGTGTGCCCAAAAATAAACCACAAATCCCCAGTGTTAAGTCCAAAATAAAAGCCTAGGCGTGCTGCATTTTGGGGCAATGGAAGCGGGGATCGGGGATGCATCCGCAATGGCAGCGGCATCTGCATCTTTGCCTAGGCGCAACAGGGAATATGCAGTTCAGTGCATACACTCAGAATAAAGTCGTCATATAATGCACCTAATAACTCAGCAACTATATTTCTAAAATAAAATAAAGTTTATGTCCTTCTAAAAACCAGGGATTTTCTTTTCTTTATTCCAAATTTGTATAAAAATTAGAAAAAAATGTCTTTTGCTTATATTAGTTTTAAACATTAGTATTTTAAGATACATATTCTAACATTTTAGTTTATAAATTCATTTTCTGAATTCCGCTATAGCTTTTTTGATCGATAATTTCTTAGGCAATATCAAGTATTAATTGAAATATTAAGTTTAATAATTACGACCGATTATCGATTTATATCGATTTTTTCTTATTGTCGGGCTATATAAAAATAAAACTTTATAATTTCTATGAATTTTTCTGCGTACATTTAGAATTTATTGCTATAAACCAGATGGCTTCAAACATCACATTTGTGAATTTCAATTTGAATCTCAATGTCAAAAGAAATATATTTAAATATACTTGTTTAAAAATAAGAAACGATTTGGTTTCTTTGAGCATATGCAGCTGAGTGCATGGGCAGCTCACTTGAGATTTCTCGCACCTCATTCCTCACGTGCTGGTGCCCGGGCTTTTGATCTGCTTAGCATTCCGTGGCACATCAGAAAGTCGTAACTATCGACAAGAACTGGGCACCCCAACTCCCAACCGCCCCCACCCATCCCAAACAACTGCCAGCCCAGAGGGAAAACAAAAGCAGGAGGGGTGGAAAAACAAAAGAGATATTGTGGAAAGCACTCGATTTGTATTTGTTTGCATTAATTTGTATACGTTACTATAACGATTTAATGCACCCAGCTTCGATGGTGGACCAGGTGATTGTACTCTCTCTCCCATATATATACATATATATGTAATGCTATCTAAAGTACATATACATATATATAGTGTGTGTGTGTGTGTGTGCTTGCCTGGGGGCATCTTTATTACTTCCTATCGCTATCTTATCGTGTGAATATGGCGCATCAATCAAACGGATAAAGCACAACAAAGCCAAATGATGAATAACATCTGGCCGCATAAAAGTGAATTGTTTTCTGCAAAATACACACACACACACACACACACATACAGTGAAGTTATGAAAATCTACTTGAAGAAGTTGAAGAATGTATTTATACAAGCCGCGGCTCAACAAATTGATTGATACCAAAAATTATACGCATCTGATCAGCTGAAGTTATCAAAACATATTCCACAATGTTTGCCAGCAATTTGTGGCTTGAATTATTCCACAATTTGTGACTGGTGACTGGAATCATTACTACACATTATGCAGCCCTAATGAAAGCTCCATTTATAGTAAGATATATATAAATTTAAGCTGATTTATACATAATTATATATGTATATTAATGTTTATTTGTTTGTTTGCCACATTACCCAATTAAGCATTGAATATGCACTTTTCGCTGTTGCTGTTAAAGAGTCAAATGAGTATTTTTAATTTAAAATCATTTCAAGACCAATTTATTTATTATTATTGTTATTTTTGAATTAAAATCATGTCAATACCAATTTATTTATTGTTATTATTATTTTTAATTTATAATTATTTTAAAACCAATTTATTTATTGTTATTACTATTTTTAATTTAATATTATGTTAAACCCAATTTAAATATTATTATTTTTTTAATTTAACATGATTTTAAAACCAATTTATTACCACATCAAAACTAAAATCTCATAATAGGAACTAAATCAATCTTCGCCAAGCCATAAAGTAAGCGACTTGAAATTATGGCTAGTGCGGCTTTTCGTCTTTTCGACTAAAAAAACTAATTAAAGTCATAAAAATTCACACCTTAAACATGTTGAAAATTCCACAGTTATTTAAAAGGCAACACATTTTCTAATCGCCAAAAATTAACATTAGCATTTCTGTTTTTGTGATACAAGTTGACATCGAAATTAAATTACAGTCCTTCCCTTTAAAGACTCTTAGTGCTCTTACAGCGTGTTAGTGTGCGCTTTACGATATTCAATGCTGCTAACATCATGCCAATATCGCCAAGTTTCACATACGTTTTCTCTTGAGCTGGTTGCTTGATTGCCAGTTTCATGCTCTTTTTCGAAATTCGAATACCAAAGCAGTGGCTTCACTTAACACACACTTAACAGCAGCGCTCAGCCAATAACATGTTAAGCGATTAGCTAAATGGTTGATATTGCTGATGTTAAGCGCTTAAATGCAGATTGACGATCATCAGGCTACATCAGTAAATAAATAATGTTAATATATAAATTCATTGGATAGCCATGATCCACGACTGTCGCTATGAGTAGTTAAAGAATTTAGCTAACTTATTTAAAAATAATCTAAAATTATGTATTGTAACTTTACAAGAATGTCATATATCAAGTCTATACTATTATAAAATGTAAACTCAAATACCAATTCCTAGAAATATATTGTTAATCGTTAATCGCGCCAAAAACCAAAACTCAAAACGTAAACCAAACACAAGTTTCAGCAGTTCAAAAATGCTGCACTCTCTTCAGCTGCTGCTGTTATTTGCTGTTTGCTGTTGCTTTCAATTATGTGTTTCTCTTTAGTCGAGAAGAGGGTCGAGCTCGAATTTCGAAAAATCAAAGCAGCAGCAGCAGCGACGAATACGACGACGTTGAAGTTGTCGTGTATCCAGTAGATACGCGAAGCCATAACGGTACACATGTTGCTCTCGGACTCTGCACTCGGAACGCCTGAAATGTAGCCCAATGCGTTCGCTTTAGGGTATCCGTTTAAAGCACTCGCACACACACACACTCACACACATATACACATACACACACACATCTACACACACACACGAACACAGACACACTCAGAGTGAGGCAAGTGTATTTGTTTGTGTGTGTGAGAGACTGTCAAGGTATTTGTGAAATTTAAGTGAATTCTGGCACTCGACACGGTGTTTGTTTGCCCAAGTGCTTAACCCAAACCCAAACCAAAAACCAAAACCAAAACCAAACCCAAAGCGAAACCCCAATAAAAATAATAATAAGTAATGAGTGCAGTTGATTTATTAATAGGCAAGCATAATTCTGCCAACTATAAGTGGCAAGTAGTTACTAGTGACCCATTCAATCAATGAATGAATAAATGAATGAATGAATGTAGTTCTTCAAGTGCGCACTTAACAGCAACAACAACAACAACAACAACAACAACAAGCCGGTTGCCAAGTTGCTAAACAAAAAAGAAGGCAATTTCAATTTCGGCTAAAATTGCATTTTACCTAACGAGGATTACCCCAAAAATTTAAATATACTAATGAAAACGAAACACAAAGCCAGTGACTAAAATAGCAACAACAACAACAGCAACAACAACAGCAACAACAACAATTGCCGATTCGTGTCGCGTCTGACTTTGAAAATCGCTCCACTTCACATAGCTCCTCAATTCGAGTCGAGTCGAGTCGAGTCGCATCAAATCGCGTCGCGTCGAGTCGAGTCGAGTCGGCTTTTGCTCCTGTGGCTAGTTACAGTTACTGGCTGGCTGGCTTGGCTGGCTGCGGGCTGGCTTCGACTTCGTCGATAATTGGAATTTACGACTCTGGCATAAAAAGAGGCGAAACGCAGAACAGACACAAGGATAAGCCACGGCCCAAACACGGCCCGTGAACGGTTACGTTACGTTACGTTGCTCGTTGTCGTTGCTTGTTTCCCGTTCCCCTCGTTCCTCCCGTTCCCCGTTCCACAAATCCTTGTTGCCTTTCGGGCCTCCGCTTTCGTTGACGTCCTGCCTCGTTGCGGGAATTGTTTGTTGACGCTGACGGTAACGGTTACAGTTGCTTTGCCAGCCTGCCTACCAAAAAATACACACACACACACACACCCTCCCCCCCGCCTCCTCCTCCTCCTCTATCCTAAGCAGCGCTACCCCCTCTCTTTGTGATAGTCGTGCCGTGTAAATATTTTTTTTCGCTGCTTGCCGTTTTGCCGGGGCGGTTCAATTGGCCTGTCAGAGCCAGGCGCGCTGATTTGTTATGGTAATAGTTGTCAAACCGAGAGAGATTCGAGATCTCTTTAGTGGCACTTGATTACACTTGGCAGCAGCAACAATACCAACACACCAACAACAACCACAACAACAAAAGTAAAGAGAAAAAGAAACAAGATGACAAATGTATTGTGTCGTTATTGGTGCCTCCTGTGAATGCATAGTGCAAAACGTTATTGGAAAAAGCGTCAACGTAAATCTTGGCCAATTAAGTGCGTGCGCTCGTTAAGAAGTGTCTCCCATACATATACATATATATATATACATCTATATATATATACATCTATATATATATATATATATGTATATCATAAGTATTTTATGTTTGAACGCAGTAAAAGCTCAGACGGCGTGTCGCTTATTGATCTTATAAACTGATCAGCAGGTAGTAAAAAACAACCGAAAAAGAGCAAAAATAAGAATACAAAATACAAAATACAAAATACAACAAAACTAAAAAACAGTTGGTCCATTAAGTCAAGTCAAGCCGAAACCAACATGGAATATTGAATGAACTGATTTCGTGTATGCACATAATTTAACTGGTAAGTTGGAGTGGTGGAGTGTTGGTGAGTTATCTCAGGCAGCTTATGCTACTCTTGAAAATTTATGCTCATATCTGCATAATCGCAAATTAAGCTACATAATTAATAAGGCAAAAAGGCCGTCGACTCTGTCAGATATGTTGATCTAGCACCTTAGCATGCCATCAAGTGGCTGATGCTGGCCACAGCACATAAAACTTTACAAACTCACACATTATATACACACACACACATGTATATATCTATATATATATATATACATATATAGGTTCTTTTTTTTGTTTTATATACTTTGTTATGTGGCTGTACGTGCCACTGCGCTGCGTACCGAAAAGTATCAATGTCTGTAATCTTAATTAGCAACACCACAGCGTCCACACCGAGACACTGGACAAGGGACGTACCTTGGTTGAGAGGGAGAGGGAGAGGGGGGGGGGGGGGCTATAGGGGCCTAGGGGTCTCAGCGCCAGCACTCAACCCAAACATCTTTTAGCATTTTAAAGCGTTGTGTACAATTTAAAAAAAAAATTGAGTGAAAAAAAAATAAAGAAATACACATACCATTCAATACCAGAAACCGGTTGGGTATCATATTTTTCTGTATTGGAGCCAAAGGTGTTTTGTAGCAAATGACCAGCAAATAAACAACAGGCGATTTGAACAAACCGAAGTCAAAGCGGCCGACACGCCTGCTTTTAACCAACCGGCTGCCCATCACGCAGTTAACAAACTTACCTGCTCATATTTAATATTAAATATTAAATATGCAGCGCCAGTGTATGCTCAGGGAATCAGGCTGGCAAGCACTCCACAAAGGCGGCCAGCTTCTCCAGGCTCGCCCAGCTCCTGCCCCAGCTCCTCCAGCTTTGACAATCTGTAGTTAGCATGTTGTCGCCACCGATGTTCTCATATAAAGCGTGTGTGTGTGTGTGTGTGTGTGTGTGTTGCCACCTTCGGGCTTTGGTTAAAATATGCAAAAATCTCTTTTGATCTGCTCTCACCCTGACTGAAGAAACAAATTCGCACCTTGAGCAGCGAGAACATGGAGGGGGCAACCCATATTAAATAATTTCATTTGGACGTTCACTTCTCGCAGCACTAAAAATGCATTTTTATGGCGGGAAGCATTTTAATTGCTTCCATTAGAAAACGCTTAGCACTTGTTATGATTGTAACATTTAAATGTGTGTGTGTGTGTGTGTGTGTGTGTACACGCAGAAAAAGAATTGCACTGAATTGTAGACAATCGACCTTCAAACTAGAAAGTTTTTCTTGACATGCAAAAAATGTCTAGGCATATGCCAAAAGATCCCTAAAAGCAAAAAGGCTATTTTGCATTTGTTCAAAGGTATATTTCCTAATAATGGAGAACATCTAGGAAAAGTCGAAGGGCAAATCATTATTGTTAGAAGTAATCCTTTCACAAGATGGTAAAGAAATTTCTTCTCTCGAATGCAATATTATACTTTAAATTCCTAGTTAAAATGTATGCATTTATGAACTATCGTAAATGTTTGTTAATTAATATAAGCAACAAAAAGCTTATATTAGAGCTTGGTGAACACACTTTAAAAAACAAATTAGATATATTTTATATATAGCCCTGAAGTTTGTAGAAAAAAAACAGAATTTTTAATTTCAAAAATAAACTTTCAGAATAATAAGCTGAGTTACGCTTATTGCCAATGGTATGTTGATTCTCTAAAATTCAGTGCCATTTCTATTTTCCGAGTGTAAATTTACATAAGTTGCGTTTATTTTGCCATTAGCAAATATCAGAGTTCAGCTGTTACCCATTTGGAAAAATAAGTGATGTGAAATTGCCATGCTATTCGACATGCAAATAGTTTAAAATCACATAATAATAATTTTTGAAATTTGTTAAACAAAATATTAATAAATCAACGCATCTATTGTCTGTGTTTTTTTGTGGCCATTAAAACAGATAAAGCCTAATGAATTTCAATGAGCAAGAATTCAAGTTCATTGATATATGATTTGCATTTGTCACAACCGGTTCAATTTCAAAATACATTTAAAATAAACACATTTGACTTGATAAAGCTAAAGATAAACAAAGGCCAGCCTATTGCTGACCATTGTCAGAGTTGTTAGCTGGTCATGGAGATGAAGATGGAACTGTAGCTGGTGCTCAAGTGCGGCCAAACAAAACCTCATCTGTGGGCACATTCATAGGCAAATTGTGGGGATGCCGAGCGGAATTATTATTCGATATTTTTTCTATTTTATTTTGTATTTTGGTGTTGCTGTTGTTGCTGTTCTTGTTGTTGTTGTTGTCGAGCATATCGTAATAATTAATTAAGTTATAATATTAAATGTCCATAAAGGGGCATTATGGCCATAACTTTGAGTGGTTGTGGATATATAATCATGGGCCATGCTTGATTGGCCAGAATCTCAGAAATTTTGTGAAAACCCATAACTCTTATTGTTATCACCTGAGATCTAAAACCGTAAAAGGCATATAAAGGCATGGGGTAGCCATCTAGTAATTTATACACATCGCCTCTGCCAGACTAGCTTTTGCCTTAGATTTAGATATCGCTCTTGCTTTTGCTATTGCTTTTGCTTTTGCTGATGCTTTGTGACACATTCTGTGCAACACAATTTATGGTCAGGAGCTGACAAGGCGAGAGGGTGTGAAATTTGGTGGATGTGAGGAAGCAAACCAATCATGCTTACTCTCATAACCAGCACACACAAGCAACAAAGTTATTTTCTGTGAGCTGTTGCCAGTTTTTGGCAATGCGAGCCATGTGCCAAATAAATGACTCCACATATTTAAAGATATTATGCTGACAGGTGAGATTGAGCGTTTCAAGACACACAAAATACAATTCACAACACACAAGCGTACATAGACAAGAATTTCACCAAAATTTATTGAACGATTGACCGCAATAGCGTCATGGGTTCCTTCATGGCCATGAGCTCATTCATCACAAAAACAGAGATTTAAACCAAAAATTGTCATGCTCTTTTTTGTTGCCTTCATTCCTAGCCAAAAACACCGATAATTGCTGTCTGGGCTATACCCCTATTCGCATATGTATTTCGTCTAAACTTTTTCCCTTGAATTCCAATGGGCTCAGGTGTCTCAAACAATTAGAATTTCGTGTTGTATATCCGATAATTTTTGGCATATTCTTCAAATAAATTGTTTGATTTTATTTATGGTTTTTTTTATTTTTTATTTTGTCATGAAATGGCTTACGTAGTAGTTGAGGTATTTCCGATTGCCAAACAGCTTAAGAGACGTAGTCTCATCCGGCTGTTTCTGACTATTCATCTGCCTTGACTCTAAGTCCCCTTGTCTCTTACACAGATTACTTAATCGAAGCTCATTAAGTTCATTACTCAGCTGTCTTCAAACTATTTATACCCAGTAGCTATTTAAAATTAGTAAAATGGGTAAAGGGTATCTAATGATGTTGTGCGAGAATAGGAAACTGGCAGAAGCAAACATCTCCAAGCCCTTCAGCTGAATATATTCTTGATCAACTGTCGATTCGAGCTATCGATAACAGTTCATTATTTGCAAACATCGATACAAAAGCCACAATTCTCAATGCACAGCTTTTCAATAGTAAACTTCATATATTCTTAGCCAGAATCAACAGTTCATTCCAGCCGTGTCTATCGATATAAATCAATTTCCGATCAAAATCAATTTCCGATAACAACAAATAAATAGTATAAATAAATTTACCTTATATATGTATATATTATATAAATATATAATATGAAAAACGGCTGGGTTCACGGCATCTTATAATTGAGAGAGCTGTCTGTCACTCGATAACTTTTACACAATTATCGATAGGCATCCCATTTCCGATAGCAAACAAGTCACAATTCTTAATAATTAGTCTTGATTATCTCGGAAAAGACTCTGCACTTCTTTTTTTTACATATATACTATATATATATACTATGTATACATATATACACATATATATATATATTCAGGGTATCTGCTATTCGAACTCTCTCGACTTAAGCATTCTAACTTGTTTTTATTTCTTTTAATAGTTTCAGTTCTTATTAATAACTTGACGAAACTTCTAAATTGAATTTATAAATCAATGTTTAGCATTTAAATGAAAGAAGCCATTCGAACCATTGATGAAATATAAAGGAGTAATATGATATATGCTTTGATTTAAATAATTATCTTAAACTACACAATTTGTAGACAACTAAATCGGTTTATGCATATCGATTGACAGCAACTTAATAATTATGTATAAAACGACATTAATTTGCAAACAGCTCGCAGTTGGCTGTGTTCTTTGTATTGCCTTCAATCGCATCAATTACAAGCTGTCAAGATTAAACATGGCTTAACATGAAAATATACTATTTAAATGAAATATGCACTTAATGCACATTTTCCATTGCCTGCAGCCATTAACATCAACCGACTCCTTCCTTTGTCCACGATGGCCAGGAGTTTAACACATAAACTTAACCTACACTTGAGAGTAAATTCGGCATTAAAGAGCACTGAACCAAATGGAATATGAATGAAGTGAAAGACTTATTCAGTGAAAGCAACCATTAACAAAAGCAAACCAACATATAAACAAACAGATAGAGAGAGAGAGAGATGCAGCCTGAGCTCACAACCGATATCAAATGCCAGGAACTTGACCTGGAGCTGGACCTGGAGCTGGATCAGCATTTCAACTGCCGGCGACACATGCCACAAACGGGCCGCCTCCACTTGGATGCCCTGCTGCTACTGCTGCTGCTGCTGCTGGGCAGTTGCTGGCAGAGCCAAGCCTCGTATCTGGAACCAGATGAGCTGATACACGAGCTGGATCGTCCGGTGCCGCTGACATCGGTGCAAGGTGTCCTCGGCAGGCAGGCAATGCTGCCATGTGATATAACGCCGCTGGAGCGCGACGATGCCGTCTATATGGTGCTCTGGTTTCGAGACGGCGACGGCGAGCCCATCTACAAGTGAGTCACAGCGAGCGGTATTCTATAAGTCCAACTGGAGTTACATGGGTATTCCATTTGCTTGCTTGCAGCTTCGATGTGAGGGGCCGTCAGTTTGGGCAGGCTCGCCTTTGGTCATCCCCGTTGGCGTTTGGCACACGGGCGCACTTTAGCAGCACCTCGCATCCCGCCCAGCTGAAAATCGATAATGTGCGCATCGAGGATGAGGGTGTCTATCGGTGTCGCGTGGACTTCCGCAACTCACCCACCCGCAATCTAAAGATAAATCTAACCGTTATTGTGCCGCCGGACAGACCGATTATCTATGAGCCCAATAGGCATGACAAGACCAGCAATGTAGAGTCCTTTAACGAGGGCAACGATATTGTGCTCGCCTGCGAGGTATCCGGAGGTAAGGGTGGCTCTGACTCCATTCTCCAACCCCCTTGCATGTAATTAAATGCTTTTTCTGTGTCTCTGTGTGTGTGTATGTGTGTGTGTGTGTGTGTGTGTGATTGCCACAGGTCGACCACGCCCCAATGTTACCTGGTACTTGGACAATGCGGTCATCGATGAGTCATTCGATCAGCGGGCCGATGGCAAAACCATCAACCATTTATCCTATCCCAACATAGGCAGACAGCATCTCAATGCCAGACTGGTCTGCGTGGCCAGCAATACGAATCTGACGCCGCCCAACAACAAGGTCGTCATACTGGATGTGAACTGTGCGTGCAGAGAGATTGAGAGACAAAGAGAGTTGCCAATTAACTGACTGTTATTTCTACGCTTACAGTGAAACCCGTTGCTGTGCACATCCTGACCAAGGATCGGTTTGTGTCCGCGGATCGCACCTATGACATTGAGTGCAAAAGTTCGGGCTCGAAGCCACCGGCTTTAATCACCTGGTGGAAGGCCAACAAGCAGCTAAAAAAACTGACAAAGAATGTAAGTATTTAGTGCTTAGTGTTTATCGCGGCACTCATTAAATATAGACAAAAACACGCTCTCATTAATATTAACAAGACACACACAATTAATTAATTGCTAAACATATGCTCCCATCCTATGTACATAGAAGGCAATCGTAGTCCAATACCTAATTGTCCCATTTAAACAAACATTTTCCCCAAAAAACTGACAGCAACTGTTTCGTTTTCTATATTGATTTATGTAAAGTGAACTGGGAAAGTTGTGCGGCATTTTGACAACAATTTGCTATTAAATAAATGAAAAGTAAAGTTAAGTGAAAACGAAATAATTAATAAAATGCCAGTCAAGTTTTTGCTCCTTGGCAATGTTGCTTAATTTGTATAATTTGTAGTGAGAAGTCGGCTCATTATTTATTGATCGACCCTCGCGAGAGTGGATTTCTCTCTCTGTGTGTGTGTGTGTGTGTGTGAGTGTGTATTGGGCAAGGATAAGGATATGCTGTACTTATAATTGCTGCTATTTTCATTTTCACTTTCACTTTCGCCTGAGCTCGCGCTTTCGTTTTAGCGCCACTTTTTCATTATTCATTTCCTAATGGACTCTGTTTGCGCTTCTTGTTTCTTTCTTTTTTTTGTTTTTAGTTTAATGAGCCAGACAATCAATCCCTAAGCATACTGACGTTTGCACCCACCCGGGAGGACGATGGCAAATATTTAACATGTCGAGCAGAAAATCAATTCATCGATGGCAGCTCCATCGAGGACAAATGGCGTCTCATTGTGCACTGTAAGTGACCGATTGGGGTACGGGATGAGGGATAAGGGACATGGGATATGGGATAAGCCACTCCACCAAGTCAAGAAGCTCTAATTATGCCCGGATCGGGGTCAAAGATACATGCCTGGGCAATAAAAATGACTATGACTGCGACTGAATCACTGAATGCGTGTTTTGCATTTTGCAGACCAGCCAACGACGGTGCTGAAGATGGGCTCCTCGCTCAATCCGGATGACATTAAGGAAGGTGACGATGCCTATTTTGAGTGTCTTGTGCAATCGAATCCCAAACCATACAAGATGTCCTGGTTTCACAATGTAAGCCGCATAATTATTGCGAGTTTTGTCTGGCAGTGATTAAAACCCAATGACAATTTCTCTCTCTCTCTCTCTCTCTCTCTCTATATATATATATATATATATATATATATATATATATATGTGTATACAGGGCAAGGAGCTGCAGCACAACATCTCCGTGGGCATCATCCTGTCGGATCAGTCGTTGGTCCTGCAGACCGTCTCGCGTGCCTCCGCCGGCGACTATACCTGCCTGGCTGTCAATTCGGAGGGTAAAGGCCTCAGTAATCCGGTCACATTGCGCATACGCTGTAAGTAAAATAGCCAGACTCAATTTTGGCAACGACCACCGTCTGTGTAATTTACAATTTAATCCTTGAGCTTGAATGTCGCCTAATGCATTTGCGTAAAGGCGAAATGTGGGTTGCCAATGCAGCAGCATCGCCTTGCTGGCCGCCATCCAAAAGCGCCGCAAGGTAGGGCTTTTGGATTGTGGATAGGGAGTAATCACCACGCCCAGCACACAGCACCCAGCACCCATCCCAACACGACCCACTTGAAGTCTCTCCACATTAATGACCAAGATTATGGCGTAATAAATGCATTTGCTTGTTTTGGCAGTAGCAATGAAAATTGCAGCTCATTTGAAATTAAATAATAGAAGTTTTAAAGGCCGCAGCCCAAATTTGTGCGGTTGATTTAAGCCATTTAAATTAAGCAGTGAGGACAGCGCATTAAATATATATATATACATAAATTGACATTTGAATAAATGCTTTAATTATTTATTTGCTGCCTGTTAGACGCACCCATCTGCGCCATCGACCACGAGGAGCTGTTGGGCGCCCTCAAACACGAAACGTTGCCACTGAAGTGCGAAGTGGATGCCTCACCGCCAGCCGACTCCTTCCACTGGACCTTCAACTCATCCGGGGAGCAAACGGAGTTGCCCGCCCGCCTCCACTCGAGCGAGGTGAGACTTTGAGTGAGAGTGAGAGAGAGAGAGAGAGTGTGAGATACACCACTAATTGTAAGATGTTTAAGATCCACTTAAGCTGCTTAAGAGCTTTCCAGTGCAATTTATCCGTTGGTCGGTCGGTCGAATGACGTTCGAGTTTCTAGTTTTTAGTTAATTAGAACTGATTGAACTATTGATATCATTGATAAGCTAGCTAAACTGGTTTTCCTTGCAGACGGGTATGTCGCGACTGAATTATACGCCCAGCTCGGATCTGGACTATGGCACGATATCCTGCTGGGGCAAGAACTCGATTGGACTGCAGAAGAGTCCGTGTATCTTTCAAATTGTGGCTGCGGGTAAGTCTTTGCCACAGACAGACTTATTCAAATATACTTCAACTATATATATATATAGGACGACCTTTTCCACTGCAAAACTGTACGGTGACCAACCAATCTGTGGACTCTCTGCAAGTGGATTGCATTGAGGGATTCGATGGTGGCTTGCCACAGAACTTTATGCTTGAATTGGTCGAGCTGAATTCATTGCGTTTGGCCAGAAACATAACAGTATCTGTAAGTGATCCATTTATATATGTATTTGTGTATATATAATGAAATTTGAATGCTTATATAAACTATACATCTTATATACATATATTAGCACACACCTGTCACATTTGTGATTGAGAATCTGGATCAGACGGCCACGTATCGCATGATTATATTCGCCGTCAATGTCAAAGGTCGCTCGGAGCCCACAATTATCGATGACATTAACTTTAAGGGCGTGGCGAAGCTGACAGGTCGCAACTACAAAACTACAATTGAAATCATATATATTTGACTTAAATACACCCTTCACATGTTTTAGGCAGTTCCACTGGGCTGATAGTGCCATTATCGCCATTCCTAGCTGTTCTGACGCTTGTGTGCGGCTTATTATTTGCCTTCTCCTGCATCATACTGGCCGCCATCTATCGCCGATTCTCCAATCGGTATGCTTCCGTGTACATTCTAATTTTTGAGTGCTTTTTGGCTAACCAACCAATCAATTTGTATTGCAGCCGCAACGATAACAATCTGAAAGCTGTGAAGCACACCCAATTAGCCATACCAGCCGACTGTCAGCTGGATCCGTTGCATCCCAACTCAACGCACACATCGAATGGCCAAGGGCAGTGCCCTGGACAGGGCCAGGGGCACGGGCAGGGTCATCATGAGCTGGCCAACAACCATCAGTCCCACCACAGCCTCCTTCCAATTAATTGTGATAATCGAAATGCGGTCGAATGCGCCGCCAACTTGAGCGAGGTGAGCATCGATGGCGGTACGAGAACATCGCCAAGTGGTGGTCATCATCATCATCATGGTCTGCCCAGCGATACACTGCGCTCCACAACACGCACTCGTCCTAATCCACATCTACTAAGCGATCCAGCGGACATAGATGACACCGATCCCGATGTTATACCCAATCAGTATGGTAAGCGCTCAATAGAAAGCTCCTCAAAGCAGCTGCTGTCATATTTTGCTTTGATTATTTTATTTTTTTTAGAAAAACGGCCACTTAAGGCACTTGGTGCTTCGCCCGGCTTTGCCAGTCCCTCGACGAGGCTGATGCAGCGGGATTATTGCAGTGGACGAGACGCTGAGCTGCTGAAGAGCAATGCGGACAGTGTGGCAGCCATGGCCGGACTGGGTGGCACGGATGCCAGCACCATTGGCCTGTTGAGCAATTCGGGCAACGAAGTGCTGCATTATACCTTCCGGCCAAGCAAGCAAATCGTAAGTATCACTTGAGAGCGACAGAGGGAGAGAGAAAGAGCGAAAGAGAGAGAGGGTGGGATGGGTGTTGGATTAATATCTTATGGTTATTCAGTTACGCATATACACTCGGATAAAAATTGAACTGAACTTTTGAAAATCGCCAAAGCTTAAGTCAGCCAATTATTCAGAAAGAATATTTCTAGAAAGAATAGTTGTGGTTTTCTAAAAACATTTTTTATCTTTAATATTATATATTTTTCCAAAACTTATGAGAAATGTGTATAATTTGAAGAGTATTAGCTTTCTATCACTTTTTTTCACACATACAAAAATTTAAGATAGTTTATAAATTCAAATAATTGAATTTAAAAAACGTACGATTTTAAAATCTAAAATAGTAGTCGAAAGATCAAATTTTTAATACTATTTTAGGAATTTCAGAAAGAATTTTTAAGTGTTTGTTTTTCTACTCTTTAGAAATTCGAAATATGTTCTTAAATTTTTTTTATATTTCAGAGATATATTTAAAAATAAATGAACGATTTTCTAAAATTTGTTCGATTTTTCCGAAATCGAAAATTGGTCTAGTTTAAATGCGATTTTCATTATTGGCTAATTACCCAAAGTTCAGTCCGATTTTATATGAGTGGACTACATACATACATATATATATATATATATACTCACACACTCACTTTTTGCCATCCTGCTGCGGTTTCTTCTTCTACTTCTCCTATTTTTTTATTTTTATTTTTCATTTCTTATTTTTTGCTTGCCCAAATAACAGAGCTATGCAACTCTAAATAAGAAGGGCATAACGACTTGTAGCCCGCCGCTGGGTTCGCTGGGTTCGGCATATAATGTAAGTACATCGACGCCCTCATCATCATATCATCTAACACCGCAGCCGATGGAGGTCAGTTTACTCAGTCCGAATAATGCATCGGTGACCTCGTCGCTGAGTGAATACCGATTTCGGCCGGAGGTTGTTACCACTTCGAATCGCATACAGGAAAGTTGTATATAAGCTTCGTACATATATGCATTAATGCCACATATCTGCATATATAATAATTATTTATACAATATACATACAAATAGTACTATTCATAAATAAATCAATGTACTTATGTCTGAGTATGTGTGTATGTGTGTGTGTCTGCGTGTAAGAAAATCAAATGGAAAACAAGCATAAACAACAACAACAACAACAAATGTATTAATACATAAATATCGTACCGAATAATACTTAGATCGTAGCAGCTGGACATACATAGTATTTATTTATACATATATTCGCATGGTTTGAGGCAAGACTTCTCTAAATTTTAAGCATTTCTGTGTAATTGTTGCATTTTTAATTTTCATATAGGTAACAATGCCAAAAGTGTAAGTGGAATACACTCGTTTTGTAAATACTTAACTCGTTGTCATTTGTTGTAATTACTCACGTAAGTCTAATTAATACTCGTAACGTTAACGATCAGCAATGCTATCAGATGATACAGATATACACACACAGTAATGCTTGTCTTACATATCCTCCAATCTGTTGTATAATTTACATGGCAGCAATCTCAATTCACATATTTACACACTGACATGCATATCTCCCCGAATTCGGATATCAACAAATTGCGATCATATCTAACGAACGATATTGCTTAACCCAGATAATGCTTCTTTCTATCAAAGATATGTGATTAATGTCGTAAGAAATCAAACAAACAAACAAACAAACAACTCTCTCCAAAAACAAAAAGATATATATAAAATTAAAATAAACAACTAATTTATGCCCTGATATCAAATTTATCTAAACAGGCGCTGAACTCTTCCAGACCCAACAGATTTCTGAGGGAGTCGCATTTCTGAGAAACCATTAAGAACCCTTCTCAATCTCTATAAAAGTATTACCTACTGATTTTCTAATTTCGTTGATGTAACTAAAAAAACGTGTTGATATCATTAAGCAAACGAGTTTAACTACTATTAGCCACATATGTGTTAAATACTTAAGAATGTATTTATATATATAAATGTAAGGCTTGTACATATACACACATACATACACATACATATATATATATATATATATATACACTTAGGATAGATCTAGTTGGTCATTAAATGGTTAAAGTCTTCACATAGCATAAATGTTTTCTTGGAATTTACTTCTTTGAATGCCTCAATTTCGAAATCGCAACGATTGATATGAATTAGTTGTATATAAATAAAAATTTTGATAAATTAATTTCTAAATATTTGTTTCGATGCTGTTGCATAAATAGTTTTTAATACGGAAAGGCTACCCAAAACTAGAAATAAAGTCAAGAATTGAGCATTTAAGATTAATATTTACATGTACGCAATGATTTAGAACAATTGAAGCCACTCAAAAGAAGGCAGTCCCCACTTAAAAACAATGTTTGGCTAACTGTGTCCTCATCCAAAAACTTGTAACGCAATTCTATACCGACTTCCTAATTATACATACGCACACATATATATATATATATGTATATGTATATATATATATATTGTACATATGTATGCTTCGTATTCGAAGGGATAATGTCGAAGACACAGTGTAGCTAATAATTAGTAATAATAATGTATGTGTGTGTGAGTGTTTTAGGCAATTTCTGTCCAAGAAATGTATGTTAATTATAAGCTGAAAGCAAATGAAGAAACTGCAAAGATTAGTATAAATTGTCAGAAACCAGAAAGAAACGAAAATAGTATTTATAACTATTCAAAAAGATACTATTAAATCAATTATAAATAATAAATGATACAAAAGAAAGAAAAAAAAACAAAAAGGACTTTCACTCGCACATTGTTGGAAAATTCGTCGCCTTAATAAGCACTTGGGCAGCAGGAGGCATTGCGGACACAAACCTAACTCCTGCGGCACTAGTACTTAGGAAAGCAATACGCATCAAGCTCAAGTAAGTGCCACAACACGAACTACTTACCACATACCACAAGCTGCATTTGTATCAAATCAGCTTTAATCATCCGGCTGCGGCATTTGAGAAAGTTCTGCAAAGATATGTTAATGTCTTCAAAATCGTATGCATTTCCAAAATACTTAATATGTAGCTATGTAGCTTACCCCAATCGAGTCGCATTCATGCCACATGGCAACACACATCAAACATGCTGCCACACAGTATGACAGCTTGCCTCAATCCATTGAGTAAGTGCGGCATATGCAAGCCGAATATTTTAACGTATTTGTGAACTATGCACTCTATAATTTATACAGTTTTTGAGTTATTAATACACACACACACACATATATATATATATATACTTAACCTCATGTGCAGTCTGTGTGAGATCTACTTGAATAATGATTCTCTGCCACCGCCGAAAAAAGCAGGGAAAGATCAGCGGCCAACTAGCTCAGTTTTTCACTCACTTATCTGTATCTATCTCGCCCCATCTCTTTCTCTGTGTATCTCTGTCTCTGTCTGCCTGTCTGTCTGTCTGTCTGTTGTGTGTGTGTGTGTGTGTGTGTGTATCATTACAAGTCATATATGGCATATTGCTATGGCTAGTAACCTCTTGCACATAATACATAAGTTTATTAAATTTAAATTGGCTTAATTGACCCTCATTCGTTTTCCGTTGCGCCGCTCAACGACAACGACGATTCTCCTTCTGGGTTTTTGTTGTTGTACTCTGTGTGCATGTGTGTGTCTGTCTGTATGTGTGTGTGTATGTGTGTCTGTCTGTGTGTGTGTGTCGCTTGTTTGCCTTCATTGTGGAGCATTCAAAGTCAATTGAATTTAAACGAATAAAACTACACACAATGTGAGTGTAGCAGGAATCTTATTGTTGTTGTTGTTGCTGTTGCTGTTGCTTTTGTTGTTGTTGTTGTTGCTGTTGCTGCCACCACTTGCCTCCATTTGATTGAGATTGTGTTGTATACGCCAAGTACTGAAATGCTTGTCCAAAAATATGTAGTAAATTGTCATTGCAAGCAACGCAAACAATATACAAATCTAAAAATCTACAAATCAACAAATCAACAAATCTACCGCAACAACAACACAATGGCTAAGAAGCCAATTATACAAAATGCAGCAAATGCATATGGCGCATAAATTAAAATATAGATTAATAAGTACTAAATTGATAGCAGCACTTATGAGTAAGACAGTTTCCTGTACATACTGTACATGTATTCAATTGCACTCGTTTAGTCATGCAAATTACAACTGAAAACTCATTCCTTACTTGTGCAATTCAAAAAATTATCTTGTCTGTGGCTTATCACATTCTTTGGGCATTTGCCTTGCTTGGTATTTTGCTTACCATTTTATGTTTTCGAAAACTTTGAATACTTGCAGCTCACAAGCCCTAAGCCGCTTTTAGTTATATTTCCCAGTCCACGTTACACAATTCCAATTCGAATTTGTTGCAAAATTTGAGTTTTTGAGTGCGTCTTTTTTTCTTGTATTTTTCGAAATGCAGCATTCGCAACGATTTGCCAGAATCTTGAGAAATGTATGAGGAGAAGAACAGTAAAAAGAACACCCACCCGGTGCTGAGAGCAGCTGTAGCAAAACTGTTCCCCTCTCAGTTGTCGGCGACGACGACGATGACGACGCCGACAACGCTGCCGATTATGATTATCGCGCCTTCTGAGGGGTCTTAACCCCGCCGAATGGAGAATTGACCAGACGTAGCAGCAACGACTGCTCGTGCCAATGTCTCTTTTGGTGCACACACATGCATACATGTTCATATAGATTTATATGAATATACATATATAATTATTTGCTTAAGCTTGCCAGCTACACTATTTTAATATTCTTTTAATGCTCTCATCCAAGTCCGAGTCCGAGTCCGAGTCCCGAGTCCCGAGTCTTTTAAGCGCGAGACGAGCGCGAGAGCGCTGAGAACATTGTCGCTCGAGTGCGATTCTTCAACTGATTTGTGCAGCGATCGCTCGGACAGTCATTGGATTTTTGAAAATAACCATCAATTCATTACCGAGCCTCAATCGTGTAAGTGTGTCTCTCCCTCTCTATGTGTGTGTGTGTGTGTGTGTTCGACACGCCGCCCTCATGCACATTTATATATGTATGTATATGCATATGTATAAGTATATGAACGTTGCTGATGATGTACGACATCAACTTCAATTCCGCAACACAAAAAGAACGATCAACGAGCGAACCCGCCTCGCCACGCCCTGCACCGCCCCGGCCGAGCCCAGCCCCGCAGCAGCAGCAGCAGCAGCAGCAGCAGTTGATTATTAACTAAGCTCGGCAAATGTCCCGCATTTATAGAAGTAGTCGAAATATCAGCCCCCTTTTCACATATGAGATTATTTTATCTCAGTGCAGCTTGTTACAGTTTTATTTTCTGTTTCTCTCCATCTTCTTCTTAGTTGTATTTTTATTTAGTTTTTTTCAATCTTAAATCGCCATCATTGCCGGCTTCAGATTGCCGTGCATATAATTCCATAGATTAGGCTGGTCCCAAGTGCGAAAGTCCCGTATAAATAAATAGAATTGCTCCAAGCGTTTGCTCAATTGATCTGAGCAGCTGCTGGGCAAATGCATTTCAAATGTCCATCAGTATTATGCACTTTTCGCAGGGCACGATGAGGGTCAATTCGAACCCGAACCCGAACCCGAAACAGCCAAATTTATGCATCGAAAGTACAAATTTAAAATACACTCTGAAAATATGTTTGTCAATTTTCTCTGTTCAAAATGCTATGGTTGTACTATGCAGGGGCTTTCTGGATTCCATTATTCTAAATTTTTGACGCAATTCGAGCCCAAGCAAAAATATTGAAATCAATACATTTTTTTTATTAATTTAATATTTTTTATTGATAAAATTAGACTAATTCTTAGAGATAATTCCTTAAGCACTTAAGTCAAAAATAAACGTATTGAAATCAATAATTTATAAAATGTAATTTTCGTTTTTTACTTCTTTGCTTCTTAGTTAAACATATTTAATTATTAAAAATAGGCACATTTTTACAGAAAATTTCTTTTGAGGACTTATTTAGTTAAAAAAAACTTTATAGCAGTTTTGCCAAGGCTTTTTCAGCATGAATTGCGATTTAAAATTTGTTTCAAATTTATGATATTCATAATATACATTAAATATTGACGATTTGAATTTAGAATTCGTTTTCCTGTGTTATACTTTACATTATTATTTTAAATGAAATATTCATACATTTTTGTCATTTATGTATTTCCCTTAAGACGTGCTTTTGTTTAAGTTAAATTTGTGTAAATTTGTGAGGAATTTGCGAAATTCCCGCTGCGAACAACATAAATGAAGTCATGATAGAAATATGTATTTATTTAGTGAAGAATAAATACAACCCACAAGCTTAGACGTATTAAAATTACAAAAAATATAAAAGAAAATTTAAAAATTTAATTTTGATATTATGAATTGAGTGCATTTTAAGAACATTAGAGAAAAAAGGCCGAATATAATTTATAATAAGCCAAAAACCTTAAAAGATTAACACAATAATATGTTTTGAAAATTCAAAAAAAAAATTAGATTCTAAAAATGTAGTTTAGCTATTTAAAACCTTCAGATTAATGAAGATTGAATTAATTGCAATGCTAAATAATTCTTTAAGGCCAAGTATTATTTATAAAAAAGCAATAATGGAAAGAGCTTATAAATGTAAAACATGTATATATTAACCGATAATAAGTATTTATATAAATGGATTATGGGATGCATTCCGTAAGTGATTGCACAGTATCGTTCATGAGCCATAATGACTGACTTGTGGCATACACATAAAAGTAGAAAAGAACTAAACTTGTGATAAATACGCTCGTCTGAATATTTTACTTAGTTGAGTGAAGAATTTCAATTAATTCAATTGAAAGTAGGATGGCGAAGTACGTACATCAGTCAGTCAGTCAGTCAGTTAGTCAGTCAGCCAGTCAGTTAGTCAGTCAGTCAGTCTGTGAGCAGTGGAAGCAAATCGTCAACGACATTAATTTGGTCCCGTCCAGCATCTCTAGTGTGAATGTGAATTTGAGATTCAGTATGCATTATACAAGATGTGGCTTCCTTATTACGGCGAATACATGATTTAATAGGCAGTATATATATACGACTAGAGTATATATATATGTATATAATAGATATATTTATAAATATATGTGTATGTGTGTACATTGAGCACGTAAGCGATTGTAAAACTCAAGACCGGGGCAAGTCAACTTAAATAGCTCTTACAGCTAAGCCCACCCACCCACTCACCCACACACACACACACACACACACACAGACACACACACACACACACACACACACACAGACACACTCAGACACAATCACACATAGACATAGACATAGGCATATGCATCTACAAATACGAGTTTTGAACGTGGCGCTTTCACCGCAATCCTATAAAATGGAACGACTTGGGCTAAACCCTTGCCTTGGGAGGAGAAGAGTATCCACTCATTGGGGTACATCGATTTTCGGCACACACATTGTTGTCGACTACTGGGGGTGGGGAGGGTGCGATTGAAGTGTAGCTGGGGGGGTCGTCGATACACAAAGATTAAGGTGGAATCCACAAATTTGGCGCAAATGAATTTTCTTTTTATGTTTTTTACACATCTTAAATTTTTTATTATTATGCCATCCTTTGTTGTACCATTTTCGATCCTCATTCTATTACACTTAGGTTCGGTTTCAGTTTCCGTTCCCCATTCAAGTTCTTCTTCCCGTTCCCCTTCCCCTTCCCGTTCCCCTTCCTGTTTCTGCCACGGTTTCAGTTTCGGTTCGCCTTTTGCCATGTATGCGAATTGGAGAAATTTGCGTGCGTGTTTTGAATGAGAATTTGTTGCATATTTGCCTGCCTGCCTGACTGCCTGACTGGTTGCCCTTTTTGGCCAAATGGAAAAAAATAGACGTGCTCACTATGAGAGTCAGCAGCACCAGCAGCAGCAGCAGCCGCAGCAACAGCAGCAAAACTGGCGACAACGCCAGCTGTGTGGGAGGCAGCCTGAAGCACCCCACCCCCATCCACCCCCTCCACCCCTTGCACACTCTCAGTCGTGAGCCCTCGCATGTATCTGCAGTTAAAGGTTGTAGTAAGTAGATATATGTATGTAATACGCATGTATGAAAAAAAATAGAACGAAAAAAAAATCCAAAAAAGAAACAAACAAACAAACAAAATATAACCAGCAAATTCCCCTGTTGCGTATGAATTTTTGGCTTCTCCACTGAAGTAGAAAACATTCTCGCTTTGGGTAAATGTGATTTATATTGATTGTAATCGTAGGAGTGGGCAAAACCACCTATATCCACCTATATCCACCTATCCACCTAACTACAATACAACGGCAAGGATGACTCTCACAGAGCATCAGACAGGCGACAACAAGACCCCGGATGCCCCAGTTGCCCCCAATAGTCCCGGTTCAGGTTATCCAGGCTATCCAGAAAGCAGCGTGAACTCAAAAACCAATTTGTACTTGATCGATTGAAAGGTATATCGGCATCATCGAATATGCAGATAGCTTATGCCATTGTTGCAAAGTATTCTGTATTACTTACTGTACATACATAAGCAAATACGTATTCAACTTACTTATTAACATATTACAATTCACCGACAAAAGTCGACATTCCGTTGCTCAAAAGTTTGACTTTTGTATTCCAAGAGTTGTTTCAATTCGAGAAATATTTCAAATATCTAACAAGAAAGCAATGCACACACACACACACACACACATATATATATATATATATATATATAGTGAAACAAAGGTTTACAGCTAATGTGTTGAAATGGATGAAGTGTATGTTTATGGTTACTCCCAGCCCACTCACATATAGAGTTGACCACATCAAACTTGAATGCAGCACTAATCTAGAGGCACAGCCATATTCAGAGGCCAAGCCATAAAAAAGTATTGTTTTTAGAAAATTGGTCAAGTTTTGACAAAGTTATTGGTGTGAAAAGTTTTGACACATTTCTTCATGAAGATAACGTGTTTGGATGTAGTGATTCGATCCTACCCACTCCTTCACACGTTTGTATCGATTGAAGTTAAGAGACTAGTTTAGGTAAGGTTAGACAGTTGTTGGTCAATAAAGCAAACTCAGTTAGGCCAGAATTGAGCTGTTATACTACCGGATTTGGATTCTACTCCGTTTGTTCTGAAACTGGGTGGAATCGACGGAATCAGACGATTTCGATATATTTCGCACTTTTGCTTAGTTCTACATTTACTAACTGAAATAGGTCGGCTAGCTAACTGATGGCCTAATTTGCCCAGAACTTGACAAATGGACTGGCCTGGCTATATTGCTCTATGTGGACTAATGGGAAGATGTATCCAATGTAACGCAGAGAATAGATATTTATAGATTCAGGACATTCCCGCGATATACGCTTACAGAGTGTATTATAATTTTGTCGTAAAGAAACTGGTAACTCCGATCTCATAGAGTAAACATATACTTTCTTGATCAGGATCACTCGTCATCTTATATTGTCATCTTCCGAATGCGTCTTTTTCTTGCTTTTTTCTATTCAATTTCTAAGATTTGTCTTAAAGTAAGTAACCAACGCTTTTGTTCAAAACACCCTCGTGAAAATTGTAAGCTGCAAATGCCGGCGTTTGTCAATGCTAATGCAATATATATATATATATATATATATATATATATAATAATATTATGAATATATATATAATATATATACATAGAATGGTAGTCATGTGAGGGCCACATTAAGTCTGCCCGCATATTGGAGGCACGAAGACGGCCGCAACCACCCCAGAAGTGTTCATCATAGCAGCTTGCAGCTTGCAGCATGCATCAAATCGAGCGACTCTTGGTGTGCGTGTGTGTGTGTGTGAATGAGCCCATGCCACGGAGAATATGAGTTGCTTCGTGCCTGACTGGTTTGAGTGGCATTTGGCTTTGGGCTGCCACGAATTCGGCTTTGTGTGTGTGTGTGTGTGTGTGTGGTACGCATTAGCTGAGCCTGTTGTCAGCACGGCGTGTCAAGGACTTGGACTCCATTTTTTCTTTTCGGTGTGTGTGTGTGATTATTTTTTATTTTTTTTTTAATTTTAATTAGGTTGCAACACGTTTGTACGTGCTAAAAGTCACATGTATGAAAGGAAAATCATTGCAGGCAGACTCAAAAGGCAGTCTGTGCCTAATTACCTCTACCTTTATCGCCGAAGGTTAACTTCAGTAGCACCACCCCCTCCACTCTACCAGACCCCTTCCCCATCCTAAAAGTCACGCTCTCATATCGCGCATAAATCACACAGTTCTTCTCTGCAACACATTCGCACTGGGCAATTTGTCAAATGTAGGCAAGAACAACAAAAACAGCTACCCAATTTTCCTCATGCTCATCCTTGTGTGTGTCTGTGTGTGTGTGTGTGTGTTCGTGTGTGTGTGTGTAGCCGTGATTAACATAAACTCAACCGCAATAACCACTGACTGGCTGGCTGGCTGGCTGGCTGGTTGGTTGGAAGGGAACTGGAAACTTTGTTAATAATGTTTCTCGGAATCGAGCATCAATCTGTCCACCTGTCCTACTGTCCCACTGTCCGTGCGTCCGTCCATTTGTCTGTCTGAGGCTGGTCCTCCTTTTTTGACTGCCGAACCTTCGACCCATACATATACGCATTTTGTAAAAAATGTACTCTCGGCTAAATAAATACGTTGAAGATGACATATGATTTGACATTTGCCCGAAAGATAAAACTGTCTGAAAACAAATATTTCCGCTTATATGTACAATTTACGTGAGTGTGTGTGTGTGTGTGTGTGTGTGTGTGTGTGTGTGTGTGTGTGTGTGTGTAGCTCTGACAAGCTTAGGAAATGGAAACGATATTCTTAGCCCATTGCTCTGTTTATTTAAGGCTCTGGTTTGCTTCGTCATTATGAAGGACATCATTCAACCAGTTGAGCTTCAGCTGAGTAGAGAGTTGAGTTAAGTTTTTCCTGGCCGTCAAGAAATTCTTTTCGTTCGTAATTTGTACACACACACACCTCCTTTCTCCCCTGCCCTAATCTCGTTCCAAGCCCGCCGGAGACAGGAGCTTCAGCTACTTATGCAAATAAACATAGGGTGTGTGGTGTTGTGGGCGTCATTGGCATGGGTTGGGCGGGCCTTTTGGGGGCGTGCCATTTGAGGCGTGTGGCCGCTGACAAAATATGCCCGGGTCTTGACTTTCCCCTTGCTCACTCTCATATGGAGCAGCATATGGAAATACGATATTCTTAATTAATTTACGCTTTTATTGCTGTTCTTCTTGCCAGTCAGCACTTGGCTCCCCAGCTTATTATGCACTGCGGTTGTAGATATCGGAGCCCATATCAAAGCGAGCGTATGTCAGAGGTCAAATGCGGGTAAAAAAAGAAGTAAATCAAATGGTCGTTAGCACCTCGAACATGAGAACATGGTTTCCAGTTAGATAATTGGAACAAAAGCCTCATGTGGCATATTTTTATAGCAATAGCTGTCATAGTTTTTCATCAAATTCAATTTTGGATGAATAACAAAATCCAATTACCACCAGCTGATATTATACGATTAATATTAATCAGATAAGAAAATAATTTATTGTCGAAGTTTAAGTTTATAAGACGATTTTTTGCATTACCAATTGTGTTTTTTACAGAATAATCAATATGTTTAATAAACCACATCTTATGTTTCTAAAATATGTTTAAAAGAAAATCAATTTCTGATTTTGGCCGGTGCAACAAATTCTGACTTCAACTTCGTCAATCTTATCGCTTACTTCGGTGCAATTTTCAAATTTGAATTTAAATTAAATGTGGTGCTGCCAAACCAAGAAAGATTGTCTTAGTGATGCCAGACTACACAAAAAAGGTCTAGCGATGCAAGTAAAAAGCTGACTGTTATAAGAAAAAAAGAAATTATACACTCAAAAGCTAAATGTCATGGCAGTAACAATTACGCAGCACTGAACTAAAATACTGGGAATTCACACGTGAAATACGATCTAAGCAAATACGACATAAAAAAAGTTTGGAGAATTTCGATTTTCATCAGCATTGTTATTTAAATTTTTTAATGCCAGTTGGCAGCGTTGTGCAATGGTGCTGATACATTTGCAAAAGAAATATCGTGTCGTCCAATGTCAATTCAGCCTTCGACAAGGTCCTGATACGATTCTTAACCTTATTCAGAATTTCACACTCGGGCGGCGTAAATGTTTCCACAATCTGCAATATAAATTTAATTATTGCATTTAAAATCATTTGATTTCTCTAATCGAAATAAAGTGAATACCTCAGCAATGTAGTCATCGGAGTCACCGCGTTCCTTCATAGTCTCAACTATGCTGTCCAATCTTTGGGACTTTTCAATTAATCCCTTGTGCTCATTTTTCTCAAAATTTGATCGACGGATTGTGTTGTAAAGCGACTTGTAGCAATTATCTAGCAACATTCTCACCGTCTACAAAATCAAAAGCTATTTAAATAAACTGAGTTTTGAATTTGTTAATTTGCGTACATCTTTTTCTTTGATTTGGAAGAGATAGAAAGCCTTTGCTGGTCCACTGCCTCCTCCGCCGGGTTTCTTGATAACCTTCACGTGAATGAATTGCTCTTGGAACAGATTGTAGGCAAGAGACTTGGCCTCTTTGGCGGGTATCATGGCCTCCTTTTGCAGATCCTCCTGCTCGATATACTTCTTAAATCTAATCACCCGGAATATGCGGGTCGCCTTCGAGCCAAATCGTTCGGTTATCACCGACTCCACGCAGGCGAAAGCCAGCGATTCGAATGCATGCTCCATGTCTATCACATATTGGCCACCTCCCATGTCGCCAACTCTGCGCAGAAAACCAAGCGAATCATCCGCTGTAAAAGGTTAAATGGATTCTGTTAAAGGATGCTGTATGTGGCTTAAGTTGCTTACTTATCAAGCTTATGTACTGATCCAAGTACTTCATCAAGTCCAGATTATTCGACTTTCGCTCAATTGCCTGCTTGATCTCCACAAATGTTATGTGATTTGAGGCCTTCTGCAAAACGGATGAAATTGTAAGTTAATTTTAATGATAATTTAAAGACTTACTCGCTGCCACGGATCTGTGGTTTTGTAGATGAGGCTTAGAATAAAACTAAAGCACTCGGCGGCAGTTTCACCCAACTTGCGCTCGATGGCAAGTTTCATGATATCGTCCCGAAATTCCTGATGGAAGCGATCAAAGTTGAGGCTCCAAACGATGCCCCCATCTGTGGCACTTGCAATTGTGGCGTCGCCTTTGCGTATCTGCGCCAACAGCTGCAGATCAATGTTTGGCGGCACAAAGAAATCGCACTCGTTGCTCAAGAACTTAGGCACACAGTCATCCTGTTCGTCGCCCGTTACCAGCTCAGGTGTTTTAATGATATAATGATCGGCGATCATCTGTATAAATGTTGTCCGATAAGTTTCCGCACTCTCCGCCTTATTGTCACCATCAGAAAGACACTTGAGCAAGCAACTGGTTGCCGTCTCCGAACCCGAATTGAGCAACTCTTCCGCAATGGACGCACCAACATTGCCATACTTGGTCTGCACAAGATGTATATAGCTAATGAATATACATATATTAATATCGGATTAGTTGTGCTTTTCTCAATGAAGTCTTTTTCACTCACCGGGAATATCGAAGCAGGCAAATGACATCTTCCCGCTTGAGTGAATACTCGGGCAGAAACTGATTACTCTTCGATGGCTCAAATCTGACCAGCCGGAATTTGATGAGCACCGCCAGAGCGAGTGCCACTTCCTTGCGTGCTAATTGCGTGGTGCTCACAATTTGCGACAATGTGCGCGTGGTGGCTGAGAACAGGCAATCGGCAACCGCCTGCACCACTTGGCCAAAGCATTGCTCCAGTATGGAGGAGCACAGGTGCGCATAGTCGGCAGACATTATCGACAGCAATCGACGGCAATCAACGTCTAACCACTTTTCACTTAGCTTAAGATCAAATAATATAAATAATAACAAATCAGCCGGTCACATCGAGCACGACTCGCCACGCGATATATCGATAACTAATTTGCAGCATCGCTCGGAATTAATCGATATTTGCAAGTATATCATTGCGCAGCAAAATATTTATACAATTAATAAATATAGAACGGCTGGCAGGGCTTTTCCTACAAAAATCTATTCTGAAAAAGTGCCCTATAAATTGCCCATGCCACGGAGAGCTACGTTTAAGTCCATGGGTAAAGCAGCAAGCGGCCGTTATCAACAATACGCACGTCCATTTATTATAGTATCTAACGAATCTGATTTTTACATGGATCTGGCATCAGAACTAGCGCGATCGAGTTTCTAGATAATAATCAACATCCTAATTGCAGGTTAGAAATTGCGTCAGATAAGATAAGGAGACAATTATTCATTTCATATGTTGTATTTCACCAGTTATTCCCCTCCACCGACTGTACATATCCAATCGGTGTTGTCATGTCCGACACGGAGGACCCATCTGATTATATTCAGAGCAGGGCGCTCGATGAATTCCGAGTGAATTGGCAACGTGAGCTGCATGTGCAAGCAGAACCTCCGCAGGCGCCATCAGTGGATCAGCAGGAGTTGCAGGGGCACCCGCTGCATGTACATGACAATATTGAGGCTCAAGCCAGGGCGGAGAGTTTCTATCGCACTGCCGTTGAGCTGGAGCAGCGTGGCAAAGTCTACGACGCACTGGCCTTCTATCGCAAGGCCACTCAGATTGTACCTGATATTGAGTTCAAGTTCTACGAGCAGCAAAAATTGAAGAACGATGTCTACAAAAAGTACCACCAGCTGCCCAGCGATTTCAGCAAGCAACTCGATCTGGCAGACCCCAATGCCGAGAAGGACGCCGAGCCGATCGATGGCCTATACGAAAAGTTTCAGCGTGATCTTTGCTGCGAGGAGATCTACGGTGGCAAGATCGTCTTAAATAGTCGCGATGCAAGCATTTTGACAACCGGCAACAATCTGCACATCTCTGATCTGCCGCCCGAGATTCTGATTCATATACTGCGCTGGGTGGTGTCCTCACAGCTGGACATGCGCTCCCTGGAGCAGTTCTCGGCTGTGTGCAAAGGTTTCTATGTGTATGGACGCGACGAGGAGCTCTGGCGTTTGGCCTGCGCAAAGTAAGTGAAACACCAAAGATTTGTAGCATTTGCTGATTTTGTCGTTTCTCTTGCAGCGTCTGGGGTCACAATTTGGGCACGTTGGATGCCAAGGATGGCTATGAGACGTGGCGCGACATGTTCATACGACGCGAGCGGGTCCTTTTCAGCGGCTGCTACATTAGCAAAACCACTTATTTACGCATGGGCGAGAACAGTTTCCAGGACCAGTTCTATCGCCCCTTGCAGCTGGTCGAATACTATCGCTATATCCGTTTCTTGCCCGACGGAAAGGTGCTCATGATGACCAGTGCCGATGAGCCGGCACAGGGTGTGACCAAACTGAAGCAACTCTACAATACACGGCCGGATGTGCTGCGGGGTCGCTATCGTCTCTTTGGCAGCACTGTGACGCTCATGCTGCAAAAGTCGCAGGCAAGCCGGCCAGCGGCGGCACAGCGTCATCGACGTGGCAGCATCATGCCCGGCGACGAGGAGGGCAACCACACACATTATGTCATCGAGATGCGTATCATGAACTCGCCTAAGCGGCGATTTGCCCAACTGATCTGGTCGAACTACTCCTTGGTGCAGAAGCGCAATAAGGTGGAGACGAGCTCCGAGTTCGATTTGACGGCGGCAAGGTATCCACCGTTGTGGTTCTCGTCGGTGAGGAGCTATCACCTGGATGCGGATGCGCCATTGGCTTAATCTACCCCTTAGTTGCACACATAATGCATAATGTGAATAAAAAAAATAAAACAGATTGCATAGCGTTTCTCTAATTAAAAAGTTTTTAGTGTGAGTGGAAATAACGAGTCTTTAGCAAGTATGCATTATTAATATTTAGCATTTGCTGTCTAAAAGCGTACAACGTTCTTAACAACTAGAGCATAAAATCATCCTAGGATAAGTGAGAAAGCTTTGCTTTTCATTCTCTAAGTTACATAATTGCAATTTGCGATCAAAATATTATTTGTTTTTGTTGTTGTTTTGGGACTGCAAGAGATCCTTAGAAGCTACTGCAGCAGGCTGAAGTTGATCTATGTTTCAGACTGCACAACAACGTGCTCATAGCGCATCTGGTCGGGTGTATCCCAGCAGCTCTTTAGGCAAGTGAAAACTAAGACGTTGCCGTATTCGATTGGCGCATTGCAGGAATTCTGTTGGAATCGCAGCTTGGGAATAAGCGTTGGCAACAGCTGCACCTCACAAATAGTATCACCCTTGCAGTTCTGACACTTTGGCAGCGGCTCGTTTAGTGGCGCCACCAACAGCGGATGTGCATCACGCGAGTATCTAATACACAAAAGTATAAATATTATTCCCTCGAGTACACAACATTACTTTGCTTGCCATACGCACCTCAGAATCTGTCCGGGATTTTGTTGGATGGTTGTGATGAAGTTGTGAAACACCAAATCCCCGTGGGCGGGTAACGCTTTCTCGTAAGTCTCCTGCTCATCGGCTGCTTCGTTGCCACCACCACCGCCAGCAGCAGCAGCAGCGGCTGATGCGACAGGCGAACGAGATGGATTCTCATCCTGCAGCTTGTACTCTTGGTACAAGTCGCGTATGTGATCCATGGACAGCAAGCCACCATAGTTCTCATAATCATCCTGCTTGGCATTCGCTTCAACATCCACTGCAATGTAAATTGACCTGAGAGTCAGATCTTTGATCTGGGACAGTGGTCCCAGAGTGGCCGGCAACGAGGTGTGCTTCAGCAACGCAATCAGATCTCGCTCCGGTTTCTTTGGGGTGTCGACCAGAACAACATCCGTCTCGGATCCCTCAATTTCGGCACAAATAATCGCTGTGGCAGCTGCGCCTGCTCCATCTGCACTGGCTGTTGGCACAACTGCCGCTGCACAATTCGCATTGGGATCCTCGCCAGCTTTCTCCGGTGAATTCATATCGATTTGACCAAAGCCGCTGACCAAATCATTCTCAACTGAGGTGCTCTCATCGTCATCATCATCATTCTCGCCGACCACCTTGCCGATATCGTGACCCGCTGTGTCCGATGATCCCTCGAAATCATCGTCAGGCTGGACATATTGCAAGGCACTTGGCCTCACATTGCCATTGCGCTCGTTCTGCTCATCGTCGGCAGTGAGATCCATGGCCTCGTCAACGATCTCCGGTTCGCCCCAGCCCCAATCGTCGGCTCCACTGCACCAGTTCACCTTTGGCAATCCGCTCGACTTGTGCTTCTTCTTGTTGTTTTGCTTGTTGGTGGCCAACTTCGGTGACTGCTCACTGATGACATCAAACTGATTGTCCAGATGCTGGGTGCGCACACACACCCAACTCTTCTGATTCGGCGAGCAGGCCGGGCTCACGCAGGCAAACACATACAGATTGCGATGGAACTGCGAACGATCCAAAGGAGCATACATCTGCACAATCAAGGGACGCACCATGCCGCACAGTGGGCATGCGGGGACGGTCACTTCATGTCGCGGCCAATTCTACATGTAAAAAAATCAATTTCAATTATCTGCCATCTCAGTTATTCGCCGAGCACATATGCATATATATGTATGTGTGTGTGTGCAGCATTTACATATGTAAGCGTGCATGTATGAGTGCTAGTGATGCATGAAATTTGCATACCAATGAGAAGGACATAAGTCTGACATAATTAAATATCAAATTAAATATTCTTTTATATTACATATTACATAAAAATCGCATATTACAATTTGTCATATACGCATGTAAGTATGTTTATATACATATATACATATATATGTATTCACTGTCACCGATATTTGCAAATTCCTGTCACAGGAATCTCTATCTCTATCTCGCTTCTACTTACTGGAGTACCACCGATTTTGTTTGTGCTGCTATTCAGATATGCAGCCTGTTTGGCTGTAATTTCTTCATCGTCATAGCCTAAGTACACCGTTGACTTATTCTTTGCCATTTTTTCATCTTTTCAATAGCTCTGTTTCTCTGATTCCTCCTCCACACGCGCTGCGAGCTTGCTGTCCAGCGTTTTGGCTCTTATCGATACAGCAAGAGTGGCATGTCATCGATAAGTCCAGGCCCAACTGACATCGATAAATAAAACGGAAAAAATGCGCTTAAGCTGAACAATAACGTCTGATTTGCACATTTTTAATAATTACTTTGTCTAGCTAAGCAATGCATAGATCTGTGTGAAAATAATTGTTAAATTGTGTAACCTCATTATTTTGTATGTGGCTAAGCAACAGTTGTTTTGACATTGCAATTGTCAAAGGGAAGCTTTCACAAATACTTATACACACAAATAGGATGTGGGGGAAAGCTTTCGAGTCCTTTCAGGTATATTTGCTTCCGTGATAGTTATTCCTATAAAAACAGTACAAATGCTCGAATAGTCAGTGCAAAAATATTTCAAAATTAACCGTAGTCTGTGCCGCACGGCACCAGTACAATATACTATTAAAAAATCTATCATATTTTTTTAAAAATAATTAAATTCAATTTGAACTTAAAATAAAAATTAGTTTTTCTTAATATTAGTCGATTTTAACTATAACAAAGTGCTTAAGTAATAACTTAAACCACTGATGCAATTGACGCAACATTTGTTTAGTTGCTTCTGCTGCGAAGAGTAATTCGAGTTCTCGGTCAACAAAATAGTCATTGTCCTGTGAAAAATCGATTAAATTCTTACAGTGGTACACTCTCTTTGCTGTCAAATTATGAGCTTTCGTACTCAAGTTCAATACAAATCGAACGCAATATTAATATGAACGCAATTATTTCATCTAGGCACTGCAATTGAGGTTTATGTAAAATTGATAAAAAGGAACGTTGATTTAAAATCGAAGTCACGCATGAACCAACATGATTGTTACATCTGGTGTGGATAGCACTGCTTCATTAGGTACGTACTCAATGTCACTTTCCGTTTGTTGTTTACGGGGTGACACACGGACAGACGGACGGACGGACGGGCGGAGTGGTATGGTGGGGTCGGCCTGAAAAGCACACGACACTTTTAATTGAATGTTATTTGATATGATGAAAATGGATTCCGAAGTGAACTTAATATGTATCTTGATTGTTGCAGGTACGGTTGAGGTGACCACTCTTTTGGGTGCCTTTTTTGGTGTATTAGTGCTGCTCCTCCTGCTGTTCCTGTACATAAGTCGCAGGTGCTGTTTTCATCATCGCCATGGCATCAACTGTTGTGACGAGCGTCACTTGGCGGCCAAATGTGTACAAAAGATTAGTAAGTATTACACTTATATCAGACATAGATTAATCAATTAAATACAGTGTGTCATTCAGCACGCAAACGTCGATATGAGAACACCAGCTCCGACTCCGAGGAGGATATGCTGCGACGCCTGCGCTGGCATCAGCAGAACAACAACCTTCTGCCCCCCAATGGGAAATTAGTCGGCTATGGAATGGGCAGCGAGCAAATGAACCCATTGACAGGCCACAGCTTCAATTATCATCAGCAGGCTGACCTGCAAAGGGTCACAGTGACCCGTGACCCTTTGGCAATTGCTGAACGGGGCAAGGTCGGTATACCCTCATCCCACAGCGAGTGCAGCTCCAATGACTCCATCGAGGCGTCTGTCGACAGTCACACTGGCATTTTGACAGGCGAGAGCCGAGGTAAGCATTTAAGTGACTCGACTGTAATTCAAATTGATATTTATCCAATTTGTTCACAGCAGTTCCGATGTCATCGCTGAGAAGCTCCTATGCCAAGTCACAAAAATATCAGCACAAGGTTGATGTGTTGCCACAGAAGTCCGAAAAGGATAGGGATAGCGTGGTGGTGGTGCCAATTACTAGCATACAGCAGCAAAATAACAACAATATTAGCACCGCAAATAATAACTGCAATCATAGCAACAGCAGCAGCAGCAACATCAACAGCAACAACCCGAACAACAACAACAACCCCAACAACAACGATGATGTAATTACACTTATCAAGTTCCATATAAAACTATAATTTATTCAGATCAGTTGCCCATTTTGGAATGTTTATTGACGTTTTTATTTTTGTTAAAGTTAAATACTTTTAAATTTAATATCTTCAGCAATATCGTATAATTTTAACTTATCTATTTCGGCTTCGACAAACAATATGAATAATGAATAATAGACTTTTATTTTGTATTTTGGTGACATATTAATAATGATGATGTCAATATTGGCTTTCAGGAACCCCTTTTTGATACCAGTGATTTGCGATCGATCAAGTCAGATGATATTCCGGTCAGCGATTCAAAAATCACAGCTCCACGTGGGCCCATTGAACTGGAGATGTCCTTGCTGTATGATGCACCCATGCGTAAGATGACGGTGCATGTGATGCAGGCGAGAAGTCTGCCACCGCTGGCAAATGGCCAGCAGACGCATACCCAGGTGAGACATAATTGACTTCAGCTTTTATAGCTAAAGATCACTGATTCCATTCCGCTTGGCCAGGTGCGCATGTTAATGCTGCCGAATAAGAAGCAAAAGCACAAAACCAAGATACGCAGTGGTGAGAATCCACAGTATATGGAGAGTTTTCTGCTGCATCGTGTCAATCCCGAGGATGTGAACAACATGGGTCTGCGAGTCCGTCTTTATGGTTGCGAACGGCTGCGCAAGGAGCGCCTTATTGGCGAGGCGTATGTGAGTTTCGCAACTGTCGATTTGGAGCTAGAGACTAATCTGTGGCTGCCACTGGAGCCGCGCAACACATCTTCACTTTTGGGATCAACAAGCGACCTGCTGAGCCTGGCCAGATCAGACAGTGCCGGCTCCACATCCTCCATGCAGCATGGAGGTGTCTCGGAGCTACTTTTGGGTCTAAGCTATAACGGAGTGACGGGTCGCCTCAGTGTCGAAATTATCAAGGGCAGCCAGTTCCGCAGCCTGACACTGAATAAGGCGCCGGACACATACGTGAAGCTGTGCATGGTCAGCAGCATTGGTCAGGAGATTTCGCGAGCAAAAACGTCCATCCGCAGGGGGCCGAATCCGCTGTTTAAGGAGACCTTCGCGTTTCAAGTGGCGCTGTTCCAGCTGAACGATGTCACGCTGATGATCTCAGTGTATGCCAAGAGGCACATGAAGAAGAACGAGATGGTCGGTTGGTTTAGCCTGGGTCTAAACTCATCCGGACCGGAGGAATGTGCGCATTGGGCAGATGTGTGCGAAATGCCCAAGGGTGAGATTCTGGCGCGATGGCACGTTTTGGTTGATTCCTGATTCGAACAGTTGGGCCAGTCCTCAGGACGCAGCAGTAAAGCGCTCAAGAAACTGGGCTTTGCTGCGTTCAAGGACAGGTCCAAGGATAAAACCCGTAAGGAGATGGACGAGGTTCAATTCCCTGCAGACAATGCGGTTGCAGTGGATATTGAGCCGGGATTGGAGCTTGATTTTGTCTAAAACTGAACCGAAAGGTCCACTATTAACTTGATGATTGGTTTTTTAATGGAACACACAAAAAAATTTTTAGTACATTGATCGTACATTGTGTTCCCAACATTTTTGGAAAATCTGGGAGTTTTAATAACCAGATATGAGCCCACAATGGGTTAAAAAAAAAAAAGCAACAAAATATTTGTAATTTGGAAACGAATCAGATTTGGCACACATTTTTTATAGAATGTGAGGAGGAAAACAGAACTAAAACAAAAGAAAACAATTACCTAGAATACTAAAATTTTGTACGCAACTGCATATGCATAACTTATTACTAAAAATTTGAACTTTATAATTGTTTGTGATAACGAATATGATATGAAAAGAAGAAGGCCGAAAGAACAGTGACATGTAAGCATCTAAGTACATGTACAATTTTTGTAGTTACTATTTCTCTGCATCTCAACAACAAATATTTAACCGCAAAGGTTTATTGATGGTCTAACCAGACTAGCACTTTTTTATTAACATAAATAAGAAATTCCAAAAACAAAAATAATTATATACATGCATAAATAGCATTGTTAACCATGTGTTAACTAGAACACTTGGATTTGTGATAATGATGATCCGATATGCCGAAAATTGTTATACAAGAAAATACAATCACGGCCAGAACGATGACTCTTGTTACCAGTTCCGTATCACATTTCGAGGTGTCCTGTTAAACGTACTCCAAATAATAATAGCAACAACAGCAACAATTGTAGCCAACGCATACCATATACAGAGCCACAAAGAAATTCTTGAAGTTTTTTAACAAGAATACAATGAGCATTGTTCCAGTTTTTTATATGTGAATATAATAAATACCAGTACCTTAGGATTCAAATTATATACGCACAAAAATCTATTGTACAACTGAGTGAAAGTTGAGAGGCAGATCAAGTTGAAGAATGAAATTGGATATCCAGCACCATTTAGACATATTTAATAAAGGTTGCTTGGGAATTATATAAGCGACAAAAACAACATTAAATGTTGAAGTATTGAATTATAACCAAAGAATTTTGTAGAGCATCTCTAATATCGGAATGCTCGGAAGAGAAGCGTTAATACTACCTACTGAAAAGGGCGAGAGCATTTACCTTGAGTACATGGGTTGAACTATGTCATCAGAGGATGCAAATGGAAAGCTTTAATAAATGTCGGTACTTGATTGATTTTAAATTGTCAAAGTTTTTATTAAGAGAAAACAAAACAAAACTAAAACTAAAAAACAAGTATTAAACTATGTACAACAAATGCTCATATGCGAAATACCTTAAAAATAGTTTAAATATTTTACTATATATATTTGTATCTTTTTAAAATCTCTATGTTTTCGATGTCCAATATTTTATAATCACAATTCAATGAATATGTGTTCGTTGTTAATGAACTTTGCGATATAAAAGTTAAACTAAAATTTAATTTTGGAGGGCTGAACACAGTTGAGGAAAGAGGGGAAATAGAGAAAGTTGGAAAACGGAAAAAAGAACACTTAAAAACTTTGTCAAGTCATTTTTGTAAAACATATTTATTATATAAGCTTCTATGTGTGTGCATTCCACTTTATCCAATTAAACTATACAACAACAGTGAAGGGCCATGCAAATAAATTGTTCAGTTTATTTGTAAAGTACTTCAGCCTCTTTGTAGAAACTCCCTCCATAAGAATGAATGAAGTGATTGGATTTTCCTGGAATAGATTACAAAATTCTATTTTTCAATTTAAAGCAATTAAATTGTCATTGTTGATTATTAAAATAATAATTTTAATATTACATAATTGTGACTTAAAAATAAAATGATAACATTAACAACAGCAACCACACTAAGCTTATAGCTCCATGGCTCCCATCCTATTCCTACAACCAGATTCTACTAATACAACTACTTTCTGCGTTTTCGTCGAGTCTTTTTTGTGTTCCCCGCAAGACTATCGTCATCATCGCTATCCGTAACATATTCCTGAGAGTCTTTGTCGGCTGACTGGACTTGGGGCACTGCATGCTGCTGTGCATCCCACTCCTTTCGCAGCTCACTGAGCATGCCAGGCGTCAGCAAACCCTGGGCGAGTAGTCTTTCCGTGAGGCGGCCACGCGATGAGCTGGGCAGCCGCGGCTCCTTGACATAAGTCGCACGGCGCATTTGATAGGATGGGATTTCACCGTCCTGGCCAGCTTCTGTGTTCTTGAGTAGCCGCGTAATTTGAAATACGCCCTGCTGTATGATCTCATCGAGCTCTTTCTGAGCCTCGCGCACGCTAGACGCTTCAAGAAACAGATCCATAAAACGATAGCTGCAAAGAAATACAAATTGGTCAAACAAGAAAATTGAAGTATTCAAACAATAAGCGCACCTCAGCCACAAATACAAGTCCATGACGTCGAAAACGCTTTCCAGATGCACTAGATCCAGAATTGTCTTGGGCAACTTTGGCGGCCAGCCGCAGTTTCTTTTAATAAAATCAAATGTTATTGGCTCATTGCGACTATATTGTCGGGCAATCTTCAGAAACATGGAACACACAAATGGCATTTTGCGATTGATGGGCGCACAACAAAATACATAGCGGGCACGCAGCGGCAGAGGAACATGTTGTATCATCTCGGCAAGGAACTTAAAGTCTTCAATATTGCACATAAAGTACAAGGAGTCATCAACAGTGCAGAGATTGACGAAAATATCCATCAGATTGCTCAAAGATGAGTTTGGCAAATGGTAAGCGTACAGCTCAATTTGGTCAGCGGTGGGATGCAGGCCTGCCTGTTTCAAAGGTTCCGGTGTTTGTTCCAGTATGCGTTGCAGAATTTTCAAATCATCAGACTTAAAGGCGGTGACAAAGCCATGCTCCCATTGAGTGCGATAACGACCAGCACGTCCAGCAATTTGCAGAGCCGAGGACACTGATATTGTGTCAATTTCGCGTTCACCGCGTTCGTTCATCGTCGGCTTCACCAACGAGTAGAAAATTATGCGACGAATGCTCCTGTAATTGAGTGATTTATTAATGGAATTGAGTGAATAAATGAATGGAGCAGACTTACAGGTTTAAGCCCATGCCAATGGCATCTGTGGCTACCATGACTTTGCAGCTGTTCTCGGGGTCATTAAACTTGGCAGCTTGAGCCAGCTTGGTGCCAGGTGGTAAGCCGCCATAGATTACAGCAACTTCCTTACCGCTAAAACAAATGAATCCACAAATCGTTGGGGAAACTGTTTAACTACAGATTCGATTCGATGCACACTTACCGCGCTTCAATTTCTCGCGAAACCGTGTAAATGTCATGTTTACTAAAGCAAACAATGCAATCCCCAGGCATGACATTGTCCAATGATCCCAACGCTGAACTCTCAACTGTTAATTCCGTGAGACGATCGTAGCGACGCACCTCGACCGTTTCCCCCGTCGTTTCGCATATTTTCTCCAGCAAATCCAGCGCACCCGCCTCGCCACATACATGCACCTCATCGGCAATCAGCCCCAGAAATGCACGTGTCCAAGCCCAGCCACGCTGAGGATCTCGCATCTGTTGGATCTCGTCAATAACAGCCACCTCGTCTGTAGGTAGTCCCGTCATCATGAAATATATTTTTGCTATTTTAGTTAGTACTTACAGGGTGTGTTTACGGATGTCATCTCTACGGTGCAGGCCACATGGCTTGCTGGTGAGTTCTCGCTTATGCCAAATTTGCGCTCCTCGCCAGTGACCAGATCACAGGGCGTACCACGCTCATTGGCCTTGTTATAGACCTCGGTGGCCAGCAGCTTAAGTGGCCCACAATAGACGCCAGATTTTGCACTCAGATATCGCTCCATAGCATGATACGTCTTGCCCGAGTTCGTGGGTCCGGCATGGAAAACGATCTTGCGGGTAATGGCTCGGGCATTGGTATACCAATTGGCTGGCTGTCGCAAATCGGATATCTTCTTTAAATCATCCATACAGTCAAGATGGGGGAACACGGTCTTGGCATGCCGCAAGAAATAGGGAAAGATGTCGTTAATGTGGCCAGCGCCTTGCATAATATCGCTGAAAATGATGTGAATGTCAACCGGCAGATTTTCAGCCTCGATGCAGAAGCGACGAAACGATCCAAATGCCTGTTGCTGCAAGTAAGCTGTGAAGCAGAGATTAGCCTTGATAGACTTGGATATCATCAGCAAGAACACACTACTCACAATCCAATCCATTCTCACTGCAAAGCGCTTTGATTTCCCGACGCTGTGCAAACTTGTTGAGGATCTTAAGCAGTTCGGACTTTTCCAGTTTGCCCACCAGCTCGGAGCCAACATCCTCGTCATCGAGATTGGCCTGCACCTGCACCGGCTTGAATAGCGCCGAAACATTCGTTTCGTGTTTCCTATTTCGCGATAGATAAACTGCTCCACGGTGCAAGCAACGCTCCTCGAAATAGGAACTAACACCGAGCCTCGGGCGCACTGCGCAGAGCAGACGTCTGCCAGTTGAAATTGCATAATGCGCCGAGTTCTGCATCGAGCTGGCACAGGCTGACTTTTAATTGAAGAAATTCAAATAATAAATTTGTCGAGCGAGCGACCGCTCCACGTTGTGAACAGAACAGCTGTGACATAATAGAGCCGTACGCTGTTCACAATTCGCGCTCGCTTTTAAGTATTTTCTCCCGACCATGGCAAAAATACCGCAAAGCAATTTATTTATTTTTTTACAAATATACAGGTAGGTAGTGTGATCATTTTGATAAGGTAGGCACAAATCATTCAGTTCTGAGTAATTTATCGGTTCTCTAAGCGAAATTCTGAACAAATCGCCATTGACTTAACTGTTAACATCAATTCAATTGAAATTAGTTAGTTTTCTCATAACGTTGCAATTCGTGTGAGTGACTGTTTGTTTCCTTGAATTTTTTTTATTTTTAATTAACTTTGCCATTTCGTTTCTTAAAATCAAATCAATAAAAAAAAAAAAAAATACTAAAACTAATTTTACTTGTCTCTATCATCGCGTATTCTTTAGAACGAACATCGATATACTCGAATTTCATCGGGTGAGAAACGTGGTTTGTTGGAAGCAGCCGGAGAAGGTAGACGTTGCTCTGTAACTTGTGTAAATTTGTGAAAGAAAAATAAATTGTTGAAAACGAAAAACTAAAAAAGAACAGTTTAAATACACAGTTTATAAACGAAATACGATGGAAAATCAAAGCAACGAAGCTCCCGTTGCCGCTGCCGCCGCCGCCGCTGCGGAGGTATCATCGACAAGTAAGTTTTCGGGGTGAGGGCAGCAATTTTCTGTTTGTGAGCAAATCATTTACCTTGTGCTGTAGTAGTAGATATAAAAATGTGTATGTATTTAACATTTATTAGCCGGGCTTAATATGGATTGCAATATTGTCCATTGCATTTATCCTTCGAACATAAAATTGGATCACGGGCACACTCTTGTATTCTTTCTTTTTTTTGCACGGCCATTTTCTGTAGAGCGTTGACACAAAAATTTTGTCAAATTGCCGCCATATTTTTTCCTCATATATTCTAGCGGTAAATAAGAGTTGACACACTGCCCATAATTTTGCTATTAGAAACTGTAAAACAGAGAGAAATAAAACACAAGTACAGCAGCAAAAAAAAAAAAACAAATTACAAATGTGTATATAAGCGAAGACACTCACACACACATACATATATATGCACATTTGTATGCATGCGTATTTATACGTGAGCGTTTATATTGTTGGTCTACAATTCTTTTTCGTGTTTCTTCTATTAATTACGTCATCGAGCGCGCAATTTTATGCTCAAAATGCTACAAGTGCTGCAATTGCTAACTTGATGTCCAAATAGTACGTAGTGAATCATTTTGCCTGCTCTTGGCCCATATGAATTTAAACTTTTTTTTTTTTTTTAGTTTTTTTTTTGCTCTTGTGCTAATGTCATAGTCGGACTATTTGTTTGTGTGTGTGCAAGCAAAAACAGCTATACTTTTGCATATACATATGTATGTATGTACATACATACATATTAATTGAAAAATTCGCGCGTCTTGATGCGCTCATCGCTGAGAAATGCTCTATGTGTGTGTGTGTGTATGTGTTGAGAATCGAGTGCGTATGTGTGTGTGTGTGTGAGGTGCCGCAGCGTTGCCAACTTATATGTCATACGTCAATATCGATATATTAATGTCTTCACCATTTGATGTATTAACAGGCGCGTACGATTCTTGCCTTACACCTTGCATATATAATTACTATTTGATTTAGAAGAATATATACAACTATGTAAATAAATGTTACATTCGGACAGGTGGCAACCCCTTTTTGTATATCTTTATAGTTTTTTTTTACTGGCAAATGCTATTTAGTCGATGTTTGTTTAACTAAATTGCCGATTTCGTCAACACTTGCATATGTGTGTGTGTATTATTAGGCGTGAAAACCGGTTTATCAGCAGTGCATAGAAATATTTTGCTCGACCTAATGTGATAACATGCTTGCTTGTTAATCATGGGTCAGCGATAAGAACAGCTACAACTGCTGCTGACAAATCAAACATGAATTTGTTGCCGGTAATGCGAGATCTTGCACTTGCACTCTCTTTCCTTCCCTCTCTCTCTCTCTCTCTCTTTCCCCCTCTCGCTTATTCTCTTCATGGGACTTTTCTCATTGTTGCTCTCTGGCAAGCAGCAAGCAGCAGCAATATCCGCCGCCGCATTTGTTTGTGTTTATTTTTAGACCCCCATATGCCATATCCATGAACAACGATCGCATATTTTTAATGCTGGAAAATTCAAATGATTACCAAATACCAATAATTTCTGGAGTATTTTTATTTTTGGGCAAAGATGCGTTTGCGTTGTTTTTGTTGTGGCCTGTGGTATGTTGTTCAGCACACATAAAAAATCGACATAAAATAAATTTAAACGTTTTCTAATAGATTTATTGAACCTTATTAATCCGCTGTATGTTTGATTTTTAACAGCTCAACCCGCAGAGCCGACAAAGCGCTCGTTGCGCGTTTTAACCTGGAAAAAGATCCAGGATGGCAAAGTTGGAATTGGCTTCAATGGCATATTCAACCGTATTCCTGCGTTCGTTGATGCCGATAAGGCTGCAGCATTGCTCATTGCGGAGGAGGAGTTCAAGAAAGCACGTAAGTAGCGCATTTTAACTAAAGTCGATCAAAAAATGTGTTAGATGTATTATGTATTTAATGTAATTATAGAGCACATCAAAGTGAACATCGATCGCGCCTTGCACGATTTTAAGGAACAGTCGATGCTGGCCAATAAATCTGTGTATTTGCCCAGCACACGGGACTCGCCCGCACTCTGCCTGAAGGTTGATGTGGCGGATGATGCCACCGATGAGCAGAAGAAGGAGGCATTGCGTGTCCAAGACATACAGAAGTTCCGTTCGGAGATTGGTCTCGATAGCAAGTTAAAGCTTGATTTGGTTGTCATCGGTTCGGTGGTCGTTTCACGTGATGGCTATCGCATTGGACGCGGCAATGGTTTTGCCGATTTGGATATTGGTTTGCTTATTGAGCTGGGAGTGATCACGCCGGAGACGGCCATTGTAACAATTGTGCATGATGTGCAGGTTGTCGACACATTGCCCGTTAATTTGTTCCAAAAATACGATACACCAGTGGACATCATTGTAACACCCACCGAGGTTATACGTGTGGCCAAGCGTTTGCCGCGTCCAAATGGCGTTTTCTGGGAACTGTTGTCCGAGCGCCGCTTGAAGATCTTGCCTGTGCTGCAACAGCTTAAGGAGCAGCTGGAGAAGTCGGGTAAGCAGATAACCCTGAAGGAGGAGGATACCGATGTTGAGCAGCATCAGAATAGTAGACGCCGTCGTGGACCGTTGCGTCGTCGCTTCCAACGAGGAAACCCAGGACGCACCACCTCACAGACTGACAACGAACAACAAGGCGGCGTAAGTTTACAAACCTCGTCATTTAATGCCCAAAGAGTTTTTTTTCTTATAAAACTTGTCTTTTTACATGCAGGAAAATGCGCAGAAGCGCGCACCTCGCCGCAAGAATCGTTTCGTTAATCGTCGCAGACGTACGAACAAGGTAAAGTCAAAAACAAAACGCTCCTTAAACTTGATGCTCGTTATATTTTGCTTGATATTTTTTTATTTGCATTTTTTGCAGTCTGAGGGCGACCAGTCAGGTGTCGAGGCTGGTGTTAAGAGTGAAGATCGTAAATTTGATGAGGGCGGTGCTGGTGAACGTCGCCCAAGGAAGAAGAATCGCCCGCCGCGTGATTTCTGTGTTAAATTGACAAACCTGACACGCGACGTTCGCGTCAAGGATCTGAAGACAGAGCTGCGTAAGCGCGAATGTAACCCACTGTCGATTACATGGAAGGGTATGTGACTATAACTGCAACAATTGTGCTCTGTGTGGATCACAATTTATTATTTATTATCGCTTTTCATTCGTTAGGTCATTTTGGAAAGTGCTTCTTGCACTTTGGCAATCGCAATGGCAATCCGAGTACTCAGGACGATGTTGATAAAGTTCTCAAGTCGCTGAACGATCTCTCGCTAACCATTACCACAGGCGGTTTCGAGTCAACACCGGCAACTGCAGCTGGTGCCGAGGAGCAGCCAGTCGAGAATGTGAATGCACCAGGGCAAACGAAAACCATAAATGTCAATGTGGAGCTACTTCAGTTTGGCAAAAAGAATGCCGGTGGCAACGCTGGCGAGGGTGGTGATGTTGATGCTGATGCCAGCCCATTGAATGGCAATGGCGAGAATGCCAATGCCAATGTCAATGTCAATGTCAATGCCAATGCCAATGCGAATGCCGAGGAGGGCGGCGCTTCACGCATTGAGTCGGTGGATACAACCACTGTATAGTATGACCAAGTCGGTAGCGCTGCCACCAAACGGCCCCGGCGGTTGTCCGCCGCCAGTGCCACGTGTGGAGTTCAACGAAAAAGAGTAACATTTTGTTTAGAAACAACCGAAATGAAGTAACACACAAACAGACAACAAAAAACCAACCGAATTGAGCTCCAAACACACACACAAACACAAAAAACACATGCAAACAAACAAACAAAAGAAAAACTAAACACTCATCCAAACACACTTTAACTTTATAATTTTCAGCTTTGTAGTTTCTTCTCATTCACTCTTTCTAAACTCTTAGACACAACAAGCGCCAGAAAATATTTCGATTCAATTCTAACTGAAACTCTGACGCTATTTCTAAACAATTGCATTTGTTTTTTGCTTTAAAAGAAAACAAAACGACAAAAAAAACTTCGTTATATAATGAAAAACAAAAATATGAATGAAATACTCGTTCCACAATTTGCAAAGTGGATCATTATTTCAAGCTAGGTAATAATCCTTCATCCACTCACCACTTGTCTTTCTTTTTCCTTGACAAGTCAAATAAAAAAATATAAATATTTTACGATTTTCTAAACGTTTTCCTTACAACTTGTAACACCTGGCCCCAACCCACCTGCTAAGTGCGTGCCGCCCAGGATACAGTTGAGCTGCTATTCTTGGGAGCACGCCCTGCGCGTGGATTAGGGAATTCGTGTACGAAATGTTGATATTCGTAAATTCTTAAATTAACCACGAAAAAACAAAAAAAAAAAAAAAAAAATTGAGAACAATGCAAAAAAAAAAACAAAATCGCGTGGATTAAAGCAATTGAATTAACAAATAATTAACATGTTGCATTTTTTGCTGAATGAAATCAATATAGAAACGAACAATAAAACATAATTATTGTAATTTGGTTAGTGTTTTTTCCCACACGGCCACAAACAACACCAATACCAATACCCTTACAATTATTATATATATTTTAACAACATGAAGATCAACAAGATGTGAAAACAAAAAAATTATACATACAAACCGTAATTATTTACTCTTTTATACAAAGAAAAAGCATTAAAAAATCTTATGTGAAACATGAATGAAATATAACTTGAAATAAAAACTGAAAAAGAAAAAAATCGAATTGGCAACGCTTTATTATTATTATTGTAATTAACAATTTGACTGATTTGCCAGCTGCAATAAAGATTTGATGATTTTTATTAACGAAAAGAATTGAAATCACTATTTCAGTTGGGGACATTACCATTTATTTTGATTTGTGGCTAACATCTAAAAAATAGGTACATATTTTTGTATATATACAGTTTGAAGCGGGCAACATATGCTGCCACCGCAAAACTTATAAAATAGCATACATATATATATATGCAATACAAAGATGTAATATGGCGTGTTTTTTGTTTATTAGTGTTTTTTCAGATGTTACAAATTATGTTTGTGGTTATTATTATTATATGTTTGCTCGAAAAATATTTTTTTTATTGATTCTTGTAGAAGCTCTATCGGTAGTAATTTGTATTTGTATCTTTGGATTGAGTGCATTTATAGCTATGTAGGTATGCATGTGTGCGTGTGTGTGTGTGTGAGCCATGAAACCTGTGATTTATTTGGACTTTGTCGCTAGTTGTGCATTGAGTTAATGGTTCCAATTGCAAACTGAATTGTTCAGTTTATTCGCGGATTGTGCTGGTCGCCTTGCAGCAGAATCTTCGGGGCGTGGGTGTCGCTTGTATCCCTTGGATCGCTTGTGCCGCCTGTGGAGATGGTGTGCGATCTATAAATTCAATATTATCACTATCTTTGGGCTGAGTTGGAGCGCTTGGAGTGCAACGAACACTGGCGGCATTAATCGCAGTTGTTGCTCCTGTTGTTGCTGTTGCTGCCGCTGTGACAAGGGATGTTGTTGGCTTTTCCTGTATGGGCGCCAAACTGTTGACTATCGAGTTAGCCATGGCCAATTCGAGTTCACGCTGCCAGTCTGTCTCCTTTTGTTCCATGGCCTTGCGCTTGAGCTCCTTGAAGCGATTGTACACAATGAACTCCTTGATTAGCGTCGTCTCTGGATCACTGTCCCGTTGCGCTGAGCGCTGTTTGGCCAGACGTTTCTTCTTTTTGTGCAGCGGTCGCGTCTCAACGATCATCTCCTCCAGCTCCAAGCAGGGATCGCAATTGAGATGATCCTCTGGCGGTTTAAATGTGGGCTTTATCTTCTTATCGAGCACCTGCTGAAAGTCTCGAGGACGCAACAGCGGCGTCTGATGTAGCTCATGCTGTGTACTAATCCGCGCTCCAGGATGCACGCAAAGCAACTAAATGCAGAACTCAGTTGAAAAAAATAAATTACGATTGCAATTACGATTAGCACACATACCTTCTGCAGCAGATCGATAAAGCTGTGGCTCCAGTGATGCGGATAGTGCACGTTGGTATTCAGCACGTTTTTGATCTCCACCAGCGGCGTGTGGGAGTGCAGCACAAATGGCCGGTTATTGGACCTCATCTCGTAGGCAACAACACCCAGGGACCACCAATCCACTGGGTAGCTATAACCCGCTGTAAATTGGATTCCAAATGACCGGACACGTTCAATTAACTTTGTTTTCGACTCAAATTGAATTGTTATGTTGATGTGACGGAGACTAGGACCTGGTGGACGGAAAGGGGCAAAGGACCTTTCCAGTGTTTACGATTTTCACTTACCGACTTCTTCTAGGGCGCACATGAACACCTCTGGCGCCATATATGGTTTCGTTCCCGACATGCTGCAGGCCAGGGAGTCCTTCTGCAACCTCGTTGCAATATTAAAATCAGTCAAATGAGCGTGTCCTGCAATTATGCGCACGTAATTGGTTTCCATTTAGCCGTAAACCATTCTTGATTGACTGTATGTGTGTGTGTGTGTGTGCACGCGAGTGTGAATGACAGCAACTGATGTGTGTATATTTCTGTTACTATGCTATGCTTGTCTGCGGGTGCATTCAATTGCATTTTTATTCAGGCGCTGATTGCGATTTCGTTTGGATACTCCCAAAACAGTCAGAAAAAAATATGGATCTGAATTTTAGAAAATCCCCATACTTTTGGCACAAAGGTTAACTCATAATATTATTCAGAAACAATATTGAGATATAATATGTCTAATTTTCAGGGTATTTTTTATGTGTACAGTGGAGCCCATTCATTACCTTTTTGTAAATTATAATATTATAAAACATAAGTAGGCGCCATTTTTTTTATAATCAGGATTCGAGCCAGCGAAAAGTATATTTAAATCATAAAAAGATTTGGGGTTGAACTTAAATTTCCTCACCATTTCAAAACACCTTGCGTCTATGTAAAGTTGAGACTTATGCCAAAATTATGATTATACAATATTTTTCAGCTTAAAATGCTTGACGACAAACTACGAATATTGCTCAGATTTTTGTGTAGTAAGAAAATTCATAAAATTAAATAATTTCAAAATATTTCACATTTGAGTTAATCCACAAGCCAACTCAATCACAAACTGGCGTGAGTCATAATTTGACACCGCATAAATTTAATTGTAACTGCGACCTGTACATACACAGACACAAATACATATGTATGTATATGCATGTATGTATGTAATGGGTATGTGTATATGCAAACGTGAGATATCTTAAGTAGCACCTGGCAGGCAGCCAGTCAGGCGGATGCTTAGACGCCTGGCGGGCTCATATGAATAATTTGAGCCTGCTCTCCCCAAGTATTATTCACCTGGGGCAGCAAACTTTTGCCTGTCTGCGCGCATGAAATCAATAAATTTGCTAGCATGGGTCTGGGACACATTATAATGAATTATGGATGCGTTTGGGAAACTTGGACATGTGACTTGAAATTGGGTGCCAAGTGGCTGGCAGGCGTGTATATTTGTATATATATATATATATATGTCTACAAATACATATTGGTATTTGTTGGTTCAACTTACCGGCATCATCCAATAGAATATTGTCGGGCTTGATGTCCCTGTGGATCACACGCTGTGTTTGAAGGTACTCCAGGGCACTGCCCAGCTCGCACACTAATAAGGCCACACTCTGCTCGTTGAATTCGACCTGCACAGGTTTGGAGAAATGTGTGAATTTCAATGGTTAGTTGTTCAGTTAGTCGGGATGGCTAATCACATTGTCAATAGCAAAAGAGAAAAGCAAAAGCAACAGCTTAACATACTCGATTCTGTAAATGGTATCTTAAATCACCGCCAGTCAACAGGTCGCACACCATGAATAAATCCTCCTCATCTGTGTGCGTCGAGAGAGAACGAGAGTGGTAGAGGGATAGAGAAAGAGCAAGAGATACGTATGTGAATGGCTGAATGAATGGGTAGCAAGTGAATGTTCAGACATCAAAAGAAATGCACATATTTAATTTGCATTTTGATTGCCAATCAGCAGTTTCTTCAGCGTCGGCGATAACAACGCCCACTCTACAGGTAGTAACGTGATTTACATATGTATATATGTATATGCATACATATACATACTTATACACATTCATAGGTGTGTCCTAGTATACGTACCTTGAAACGAGAACCATAAATTCACCAGGAATGGATGTTCCAATGAGGACAAGAGCTCCACCTCCTTGATGACACCGCCTAAAGCGCCGCGCGATTCACAAACTGAACGGCTAACATATTTCATGGCATAAAGGACGCCGCTATCACGTTTCTGTACAATGCACACCTAAAATAATCACACACACAACACACACGCAGACACATTGAGGTTACGTACGGAAAAGGCTTCCGCCGTGGTTGCCATGGTTACTCACCTTGCCAAAACTGCCTTTGCCAATGGCGCGCAGGATTTGGAAATGATCAAAGTTGACTGTGAAAAAAACCGACACAGATATAATTACGCTTAAAGTGGTCGATAAAAAATTAAAGACGTAAATCTTTATACGATTATAGGAAAACGAAGTAACAAAGTAATAATATTGAATGATTTTTAAAGTCGATATATTTAAATGCATTCTCATGTACGAGTGACCACTGTACTTGTTTAGCTTGTTTAACTGAGCTTATTAAAAATGGGAAAAGGTCAAAGTGAAATTGTGCAAAACTATGTAACAGACAGAAAGTAGCATCATCGAATCCACAAAGTATATATATTCCTGATCAGTATTAACAGTCAAGTCAACTAAGCCATGCATGTCTGTCCGCCTGTAAGAACAAGCCGAGACTTGAAACGGGGCATATAAGTTCTAGTATACCATAGGCAGATCCAGTTTATTTCATTTTATCGATAACTACACCCGTTTCGCAAATATCGATACAAATCGATGTTCAATAGCTATAAAAGACTGCAATTGAATGATATTGATTTTTAATTGAAAAATTATATACCCTGACATATTATGGATCAACTTAAAGCATTTAAATAGCATCGCATAAGAAACTAAGAAACTAAAGCTGTGTCAAGGGTATTAGCAAGTCGAGCTGTCTCGCTTAGAGCATTTAAACTTGTTTATTAAGTTGTTTGGGTTTGCACGAATGATTTCAGGCCATTTATTCTAAACACAGACTTGGCATTTTGGCTGTTTTTATTTGGTTGATTGAATGCGCAGCCCTTTGCGGGAATAGCTATTATATTTTATAGAAATTACCAGGTCAGCTGAGTTTGCTGCGAAACGCAAGCGCCAACGGCATTATCCTGATAGTCCTTCATAATCATGTGTCTTAGTTGCTGCTGTTTCTGGCAACAGAGGAAAAAGGGAGGCAGCGCATCGATCTGAAGCATCTGGAGTTTGGGAAACCTGTGCCCGACCAGCACCTCAAACTTCTCCTTGTCCAGATAGTTGAGCCGCAGTACAATTAACTTGCGCCAGCAGCTCAGCAGCAAGAACTCAAAGTGCTCCTTGCTTAGGGGCACCTGGAGCAGATTGAGCTCAATTCTGGTCAAGTGACGGCGCCAAAGACTCCCCAGCAGCGAATAGCAGCGATCATCGCATTCCAGCATAGCCAACTGATCTGGCAATGGCAAATATGACAAGATCTGCTGCAGACATAGCTCATCCAGATGCTCCATGGCCGACTCCCAAATTCGTCTGTCTCAATGTTCCAAATACTTTCCCTTTCTTTTTCTTTTTTAAATTTCCAAGCACGAGCTACTGAGTTAGTTCAGGTTTCAGATGCTATGCAATTTTGTTTGTTTTGTTCGACACAAAATCACTTACCGTCATCGTCCTGGTGCAGACTCGGGTCGGATCTGCTCGACGAGTTTGCGCCCATTTTGTAGCTACATCAATGTGCCGCCTTCCTTGCGGTTTTATTTGCTATTTTATTATTGTTGTTTAGCCGTTTGTTTTTTTGTTGTTGCTTGTTGCTTGTTTGCGTGATTGCGTGTTTGTTGTGCTTCCGTTAGCGACTCCTGCTGCGCCGATTGCTCGAGTTGTTTGTGGCACTTCGATTGAATTCAATTGATTCGCTGTTGTGTCCTGCCGCAACTTGTGCTTTAGCCTCGCTGCACTTTTGTTTCGTTGTTGTTGTTGCTGTTCATATTGAGAATGATGTGATTGTTGTGGCAGCTTACAGTAGCTTGTGCACCTAGAAGAACACACAAAAGAAGGCAGACATAGATTAAGAATATATATCTATAAAGGTAATCAAAGTAAAGGTGTCAGCATTCAATAGACATTATCAAATATTTGTAACTCAAGTTTAGAATGAGTTTTTTGTGAATAGCGAACTGCACTCAACACTCACACCACTCAATAGTTTGTAAACTGATATTAAACTTGCCAAATATACACAAAAAAATACCAGGAAATTGCAAATATTTTCTCCAAATTAAGAAAAGAAAAACTATGAGTTGTAGGTAGACCCAACTTTTCGTTTTATAAGTATACTTTTTGAATAATAAAGTGAGATACCTTTGGCACAACAAATTTCGCGATTTTCTCAAAAACCCGGTCGACTTTTCAACCCCCCGCTAAGTTTTCGCTTTATCTTACTGCTACGCGAGAGATATTGGCTGTTTTATTAATAAATAAATATTCTTGAAGTTTCAAGTTCACAAATTTATTATTGTGTAAGAAAATTAGTTAGAAAGCTATCTCAGCAAGACATTCTGCAGCAGAGGACAAGTCGGGGCAAAAACAAAAACAATGGGTTCAGTGTATAAACGGTTTTCTGAGCTGAGTTTTTCAAAACAACCTTTAAGTTTTTATATTAATATTCTTGAAATTTACACTTCACAAATTAAATAATATGTGTAATAAAAGAATTAGAAAGCAATCTCAGCAACCCATGCTGCTGAAAGTAAACACAAAATTTAGACAACTGAGAGAAGTCAGTGTAAAATACTTCCTTGTACAATAAACAAAACATACAATTGCCATGTGCAGCAAGATCATCGAAATAAATGCCAAATCCGGCAATAGAACGGCTGTCATCTCGCTGCGCCAGACTGAGCTCGTTGGCAACCTGCGTGTTCTGGTTGCGGCCCGATTTGAGAAGGCCATCGAAATCGTTGTGCTTGTCTTTGGAGGTCAGGTACTGCTGGATGTGGGCACCATTGATGGCCATGGCATCACCGCAGGTGTCACTGTCCACGTGATCTTTCGTCAACTAATAAAGCTACCCACTCCACCGGATAATGGCACGCTTAAGCCGCCCGCTATGAGATTTAAGATGAGGGAATTCATCAAGCCGCTGCTAGAGAATTCTGGCACATTGCGCGATATTCTGGAGTCAGTGCCTCAAATGAAGGCCATGCTGGAGAAGAACTTGGGCATGAGGCAATTCCTGTCCAGCGACCGTAATCTGCGCGAAGTCTTCTCCATCATGCTGAGTCCGGCCAAGCAGCAGGAGATGCGTCGCATGCACGATGTGCACCTCATGCGACTGGAGTCGATGTATGGCTGCACCCATATACTGGGTAAGATTAGCTTCCGTTTGCGCAAGGCCTACGAGGACAATGTGGCCCAAAAATATCAGAATACATCAGAACGTCAGCACAATCAGCAGCGTGGACGTGAAAATAAATTGCCACTACCGAATCCCTGGCGGCGAGTCAAACAGAAAACGGATGTGCAGGTCACGATCGTTGTGATGAAAGTGAAATGTGACCTTACCTTGCTGGATGCCCAAAAGATATCCGTTGAGGCTGCACGGGAACTCTTAGAGAAGCTGGAGCCCACCCAAACAGATGTTACATCGCTCAACCTATTTGAATTTATGTCCCGGAATAAAAAGCGCTGGGAGGAGCAATTTCGATCCCAGTTGGAGCAGTTGCGTGAGCTGGGCCACATGGATTGGCAACGCAACATTTGCGCACTGCTCATATCCTCGGGTGATGTACCCACTGCCGTCAAGCAATTGAAGAAATGGAACCGCTAAAAGAACACCCAACAACTATTCAATTACTCAACTACCCCAACTAACCGGCCACTTAAAAAAACACAACCCAAACGTTTAATTTATACGATTCATTTTGGTGCATTGCCTGTGTATGCACTTTAAGTGGCAATTGCTCTCAAAATGTCAAATTATTTTCAATACATTTTACTTTCATTATTATTGTCTATCTACATAAAGGGGAGCGAATAAATACGAGTGTATGTGTGTGTGTAATAGCTCTGCCAAAAATGTGGCATGTCCTTGCTAAATATTTAACCACAGCAGCGGAGCTCATAACCAAGTTGAGGTCCTGGACCCATCGCTTGTCGCATCGGAAATGGGGAAAATGACCACCTTCCTAAGTGATGGATATTGTTACTCAACCGTACACTCAAAAAAAAAATCGCCCTAAAAACTAGAAATATGTACGAAAAGAAATGTATAAAAAATAGAAAGTCTTTTTTCTATTTCTTTCCAATTTATTTATTAATAATATAAAATTGTTCTAGAAAGTAGAAATGCAAACTGTAATTGTTGGTTATTATTGGACTGTTTTGTTAGAATTTAACTGTTGTTTGCTTTAGACGTAAGATTCTTGAAATGAAAATAATACGAATTTATAAATATTCTAAAATTTTAATAATTATGTAAATAACCAAAATATTTAGGTGTGCATACAAAAAAAAAAAAACACCCTGAATATTTGACATATCTCATCTAAATTCTAGAAAAATCCAGCCTAGAATTATGTCGACTTTTTAAATTTCATAGCGATTTTTTTCCGAGTGCAGTTGACTCATTTGCGCTAATTAAATGAGCCAATGCGCTTCACATTAGGTCGTCTAGCTTTCCAGTGGATTAGTGTTAAAATTAATTTCGGCTAGACAGAGTTCGAAAGGATATTTCTCAAAATAACACTTGCTTGTGTACATACGCATTTCTCATACAAAATTTGAATGTTTTATAAAATGCTGGGCATTTCAGCATTTCAGCATTTTTCTTTATTTTGGTTTGCCGTTCGTCTAGAAATTTTTCATTTTTGTCATCAGCAGACGCAAATCCTGACGAATCCATTTGCCGTCACAATCTATATATGATTGATGGAAACAATTTTGTCAGGCTGGGCAATACTTTACGTTGGCCATCCTTTCAGTCAGCTAACAAGCCACCCAGCCATCAATACATCTGTGGTGCAAGGTTCCTGACAGTTTCCATCAATGGCGCATGCCACAAGTTTCCGACAGCCGTTTCATATTTCTTATTTTTGAATTGCGGCAAACATATCATTATTTGAGGCGCTTACTTATCAATCTGTCTAGCAGTCGCTGGCAGAATAAATAAAAAAATAAATATATATAAAAAATGTATATATTTTATATATTATTCGATAAATATATTTTCATACTTGCATCAAAAATGTATGCTGCTTGTTGTTTACAACTTTTTTGTGCGCATCCTTTAGCTTTCTATTGATTTTACTTTCTTTTATTTTTATTTGTTTGTCGAAGAAAAGTGTACGGATAAAACTTGGAGCAATTGCAAGGAATCCTAACTGTGTCATGGATATCTCTGAAAAACCTTGAGATGAAAACTTTGTGGTAGAACTAAGTAAGTAGTTCAAGTACGTGTTGCATTTCAAAAAGGTAGCTAGGTAAATATGTATAAACTCTGAAAGTAAATCGCATTGAATTTTAGAAAATCGCGATACATCTGCTCATCTCAGAATTCACAAAGCGCATTTCTTTAATCGTTTCCATACCTGCGCTATCGAGAAGACCTTTCAAAGGCTCCCTCGATAAAGTTAACGTTCTTCATAAATTTATCAATATCATATCAATTATATCATCTCGAGTTCAAGACATTATCTTCATTATTTTCCAGAATTTCCAAGTGCACAGAGCTCTAAAATTACCTGTTGATGGCTTATATTTATTTTATTATAAAACATTAGTACTTTAAGATTTCCCATATACAAACATTTTAGATAGTTATTAAGTTCACATAAATTAATTTGAGCTCGGTCTCTAAGGAAGAAGCTTTCGAGAGAGCAAATTTAATTAATTTCTGAATTTCAGCAACAATTTTTTCTGAAAATAAAGGTTATCATTTCTAGTTTTTAGAAATATTTCATTATAAAGAAATATGTTTCTGAAAATAAGCAATACCCTTCTAATTTTAAGAAATGTATTTTTGTATATATACTATTTCCAAAAATCAGAAAATTTAGAGGCGGTTTTTTTGCTGAGTGTATATTAAAGCATCACAAAGGTGTACTATCTTCAGTGTCAACGCCATGCATACGTAAACTTACCCTTACAAATTTAGTTATTTAAGCTGTAATGTGCTTTAAATGCACAGTCAGCAACAACAGCAACAAAGGCAGAGAGAAAAAAGGGCCATTAGTGGGAAGCAGCTCAGGGGAGGCGACTTCTGTGCTGTAGGTGACAAAATGGCGCGGAAGCAACGTGTCCGGCGGCAGCTGCAGAGTTTTTGTTGTTTCATTACACACACACACACACAAACACACACACATAGGCATAAACGCTGTTGTTCTTCTTCTTTTTTTTTTGCCTGGATACAGCTCATTTCAGTTTCATTTAAATATTTTATGAAATGACAAAGTAACACCAACGACCGACGGCCAACATTGAATGGCAACAACAACGAAAGGAACAACAACAACAATGAATACAACAAGCAACTTTGAGTAGCATTTGCTTAATGTGATTGCTTGGTGAGTCTTAGCCCGGCCAAATGTCACCTTGAAATGTTAACCGGCAATGCCTCTTTTCTGTTCTAGCATCTTTTAAGCATTTGATTTGCTGTATTACTTTGTTGAATTTCTTGCCATTATTCAAATTATACACAATTCTTTTATTGCAACTCACGTAACAGTCACGGACACAATTTAACTGTGGCTTGCGGCCAACGTCTGGGCTTTGGCAACAATATCCGGACGGTTTTCTCTTGCTTGCGGCTGTATGGCATACAAAGTTCTTGGCCAGGTCCAAAGAGGAATGAAATAAATTGAAGTTGGTCCAGGACACAAACTGCTCTCAATGTCACTGTCGATGTGGAAGCCACACGCTTCATTTGCATTTCAACAAAACTTAAGATACAAAGTTGTAAAATCGAAATGAAATGTGCACAGATCTTGAAGAGTACGTTGGATTCCTGATAACAAAGATACATTCGATATGTGAGTGCATGTTTGATTGGATGCTGTCTACGTGTGAACGCTTTTGCTAGGTGTTCTTGAACTGCTTTCAGAGCTAAACAATTTAACTCACCTGGTTGGTATTCAAGTTCTGTAAGATATATATATATATATATAATATATAAGAATAACCAACTGGTTATATATATTTATAAATAAAAGTATATGAATAGCTGCTGTGGATGGCAACATGTAAAGCCTTTTGCGTGCCTGCCTGCTACATATGTGTTTTATGTGGGTGTGAACCCGTAAGTAATCCCCTCCCGGGACTCATAAAACATATTTATGCATACAGCATGCAGAACATTAAACTGATTTTTCGCGAATTTGAAAACTCATTACACGCACTCTTCACTCTGGAATCAGACCACCGTATGTAAGAAAAAGGAGAAGTAGCAGCAGCAGCAGCAGCAGCAGCAAAGTTTAAGGACTTCACAGGAATTTTGTTTTGGTTCGTTGGGTCGACCCTTTGGCTCTAAGCATCTTCAACCCCTTGTTGGCCTTGCCGTGTGCTTTTAGCTTTATATTTAGTTTTATCTTACCAACAGCCTTAAATCCAACGTGCTTTTTTATTTGTAGAGAAAATTTCGATTTGTAAATATCCGTCATGCCTAGCCCGTGACTTTCTGGATTAAAGCCAAGTTTTGAGAGATTTACTTTAAGCAAGGTATTCGCTCACAATCCATTCCACGTCATATTTCACACTACAGTGCTCACCCAAAATCAATGGACGAACCATCCGCTTAATTGCCAACCCGAATATCTTTAGCCCCTTTTGTTTTGGCCCTACGCTGTCTCGCTGCTGCGGCAGCCCTATTGATTTTACATAATTAACAATTGTGTGTGCTTTCGGTACGCTGAAATAGCTTAATAACGGTTAGGTGAATGGTGAATGGTGAGATATACTCGTAATTATATCCTATACTCATTAAAAATGAAAAAAAAAGGGTATCGCACTGTTCAACAATGCACAGTGTATTTTTTATGTAACCTTATTTGATGAGGGTGGCCAAATATGCCAGTCTCAAATCAATATTCGGAGTAGTAGAAAGTTATAAGAGTTGCTCGTCCAAGAATTTCAATTTTTGTATTTAACAGAAGACGTTTTAAGCTAATTACATTTTTAAATGATTGCTAAATTTGAATACAACTAATTAATAAGTTAATTCAAATTTAAATTATACAAATTATTGGCGTCAAGGCGTCGAGCTCATTCGACCAGAGCACTCCCACTTGCTCCTATTTTGGGAGGGCAATTAGTAAATGTAAATGATGTACAAATTTATATTTAGATTATATAAACAAAAATTAGAATGCTTTAGTCAAGATGGCTTGACTAGATACCATACCATCGGTTAAATACTGATAACATTTCAGTCAAATTAAATTTACTTACAAATTTACTTACAATTACAAAAGGATATAGAAAATAAATTCATAAAGCTGGAGATATTAAAATTTAAAATGGTTTAATATCGATTGCAAGGATTTTGGAAAAAATAAAAAGCCAAATCAGAACAAAAATTGACAAGCTTTAGTAGTTTAGTAATATGTAAATACAAATATAAGTTTAGCTTATCAAAATCCGAATTTCTTTCCTATCTTAATGAAAAGTTCACAGGGTATACAATATATCAATTTAAATTCTTTACAATACTGTCTTTCATTGCAATCAGAAATCGATGTGTACCGATCCGATATTCGGGAAACGGGAGCAATTATCGATAAAAGTCTCCAGCTCTTATAGTCTCTGAGATCGACTTGTACACATAGACGGACATGGCTAAATCGGCTGTTGTTGCTGATCAGGAATATACATACTTTATGGTTTTGGAGCGGCTTCCTGCCTGTTACGTACTTTTACACAACTTTATTATACTCATTTTACCATTTTGATTGTGTTCTGGGTATAATAGTCCTAATGCATAAGCCACCATTCATATTTGAACTACATCGAATTTGATAATCAAACCATAATATTTACTATTATGTTCGTAAAATACAATACAAAACAACTCAATACGCTTTCAATAGGAACACGCAACGCTTCATTAATCACAGATAACGTAGGCATTATATAATCGATCTATTGATAACAACAGCAACAACAAGCACAAAACGAAAGGAGACTCGGCCATTTAGTTGTTGCTAACAAAATAAATGGCGGCACATCAATCAAAATGACGGCACAATTCTCTGGTTTTATTTGTTGTTGTTTATCCGTTTTGCCCTCTGTCAGTCGGACGGTTGAAATTCGAAAGGACTCGTTAATTAATGGCGGCTTCAAAATGTTTGCTGTATTTACTCAACGCCACCGAACAAAAATCTGTTGCTCTTGCCGGAAAAACTAATTAAACAGCTGTTGGCGCCAACTGCCAGTTGAAGTTAGACCCAACGAGGCGTGACCGAACCCTTTACAGGCGAAGAGAAAGTCTCCCTCCTTACCCCTCTCTTACTCTTACTCTTTCTCTCTCTGTCTAAAAATCGCCATCGCATTTGCATTTCAGACAAAGGGGTGCGCTTCCACGCACGAGTGACTCGATGACTTTTTCTCTTGGAGCCTTATTGAGTATGTCAAGCATACAATTTTAGTTTGACTTTAACTAGACTCTTTGAATCATATTAATATTTTCCTTATATATTGCACCCACTTAAATTTGAATTTATTTATTTGTGGATTAATATCAATCGACACACTAAAATTTAAAAAGTAAAAATAATGTAAATTAAACAAATGAGAAAAATTTTGAAGATGTCTGGCTTTCTTTAAATGGAAAATTGATCCAATATTTGCTACATAGATTGGGGTAAGCTCAAATAAAAAACCCATCATACCCAAAAAAAAATGTACCATGAAGAAAGGCAGTAAAACGAAATTACTGAATTAGAAATTCATAAATTATTAATGAGTGCTATTCATTTATAATGTCTTTAATAATGAAAAATACGTGAATTGTAGACTTTTTTATACAACTTTAATGTTGCGATTATTTGGCACTGTATTAATTTACTATTCGCAGTAATACCATAACTTATTTATGTCCCTTAGATGGGACAATACCCGCTGATTCCATCAGTTAAGTTGTCCACTTTTAGCTGGAATATGCACGTACTTATGGCACATTAAAGGCCATCTTTGACAAAACCACAGAAACATCCATAATGTCCTCGTAAACGGCCACGTTTTATGACACTTTTTGTTTACGGTTCAGTATCAAGCGATATTCTTATTATTACTGGCTTTTTTATGCCACTGTTGACAAGTGGGATTTATTGCTAAAAAAAAATGTGCATTGAACTCAAAATGAAAAAACCCGATGCTTTAATCACATGCAATTAAAGTAAAATTGAATATAAATAAGGTTTTTTACGTTTAATTATAAGTACATTTCCTATAATTTTTCACAGCACAATTCAGCACTAAAAAAAAATAAAAAATGTACTTATAAATTAAAAACATGATTGCAATATCAACTATTAATCCAATTCAGAGCCAAAAAATGTCCGTTTATTGAATTTGAAGCCTGCGTATAATGGAACCATATTTCCTGTATGACTTCGAACAGTTTTCCAGGCATTAAATTGGTATTCGATGTTTATTGAATAAATTTGCATTTCCGTTTATACAATTGCCATAATTTCACTGTCAACAAAGCCATTCAGGTTCTTGCATATGCGTTAGTCAAAGGAATTTGAGGAATGCTCACATTTTGTTCTTCGTCGTTATAACTGGGTTGTATTACCTGCATACATCGACAGACTCCTCCTTATTAACCTTCCCTTCCTAATTAATCATCGTGTTATGCAAGGTTTTTTATTTGTTAGTTAAATAACTAAATGGTGAAATCGATTACACTGCGTTGATGAGCCAAATTAATTTTTCAGTTCCCTTTAGACTTCTTGGTTATTTCTCCCCACTTTATCCCAAGCGTTGTTTTACTAATTACGCCTTGCATGAAACTTGTGGAGGCTTCTGTAATGATTGCAATAGACTATCATGTAATCAACTCAAAGTAATCTATTTCTGTCATTAATAACTCAATTTCAAACGATTTGTTTCGTGATTAACATTTTCGCATGCATTTGTGGTGGCGAACTATGTGTTGTGGTTAGATTGAGTTTATGTTTTTGGGTTTTCCCTAATCCATGAATTCAATATTGCAATTCAATCTGTTGAGAATTCTTAAAAATGTTTCTAATTTTTTAAAATATACATTTTATTTAATATATTTTTAATTGTTTGTGTCAACTGATATTAGTCGATATTAAATAAATAAATAAAAAAAAACAACAATAAATAAATAAAGCGACGGCAATTTAGTGACATCCCCGCCTTGACAACTAAAATTAAATACTCGTATGAATATTCCACAACTTACATTACATACATGTCTTCATATAAGTAAAAAACATGTCATATAAATGGAGACAATTTATATACATTATCTCAGCTAAGCCAGAGTATTACATTTAATATGAATAGGAGTATTAAGCTAACAATCTTAAAATGTAGCTGCCACTTAGTAACAGCTTTAATTCGATTTGGTTGCCATGCATATTTCAATTGGCTTAGACAAATCAAATTTTGTTTCTGGCCAACATTTTCGCCCAGGGAGCAACAATTGCTAGATATTTTCCAATGTTTCACTTATCATGTGTCAAGCCTACAAAACATCAAATCAACAGCAATACTTGGATGGACAAAGCATCTGACGGGCACTTTTGCACACTGGTAATCAACAAATCAGGGGCAAAAAGAAATATGCGCTGCTTTCAGGGTTCATTGACATTTTGTGCGTTCACAAAAACACGCACCCATACACTAACACTGTCAGAAGACTTTCCACACACACACACACACACACGCACACACATACATGTATATGTGCAAAAATGTTTATTGGTACGAAATCACGCAAATTTTTACTCAAGTCAAGAATATTTTGTGCATGGCGCCCCACCTCATTTAAAAATTCTTGTGCTTTATGAGTTAAGTAAACACTTGAGAGGTGGCGGATAGATGGATGGGGTTTCAGTCTGTGGTAAGGACCTACGTTTAGAATTTATCGATTGGCATTGCTCGAAGTTGAAGAAACTCAAACACACTCATATATACCACATATACCATATATACATATGCATATTAAGTGTGTGTAGCCGTGTAGCCAAATTGCACAAGATAATTTATTCAAACTGCACACTTAACATATAAATATCTTATTTTATGCATATATGTACGTATCGTATATGTTTACCAACTGCTCCTGTTGTGAGTTGGAAGTTCTTAAGTCTCAAAGGGGCCACAACAATTCGTAGACAAATTCCAGTAATTTCACTTTGAACTGCGGACTCCGAACTCGGTGTAACTGTTTTTGCTTGGTAAAGTCACGCGATTGTTAAGATAAGCACACCTACTCACACAAGCACGCGAACGCAATCAGTTTCACCGTTATTATGAAAGCTTTCGTATTTCTGTCACAAAATCGCGTGCATCAGGACCGTCAGCTAGCACTGCCAAAATTCAACTAGCACAACACATAACTAACAACTGTTGTTTGCTGCTACGTAGAGTCTGTTGTGTTATTTACGATGGTAGCGTTGCCAGACTGCACAAGAGCACAAAATTCTAGCTTAGCACGCAGACTCTCAGCTTTTAAGAGAGGGAGAGAGAGAGAGAGAGAGAGAGCCAAATGGCACAGAGTGAGTGGAAAGAGAGTCTCCTTTGAAATCGGTACGTTATAAATGAGCGCCAATTAGCGGCAAGTTGGCCAGGCTCTGCTTTATTATCATTATCATTATTCTTATGACTATGATTAGACGGCCATACAAATTGGGTTAGCTGTTTTGCTTTAAACGCAAATTTATTGCTAACATATTTTACGACATTTTATCACATTAGTTCAGCATCCTATCCCCAATATGAACACATCAAGTCGATGTGTGCTGCTTGTCATTGAAGATGTCGCATGCATCAATGATGTTTCCACTGGATTGCCTCCGAACTCGTGCGTTAAGCTCTTGTTGCAATTTGCTTATCATATGAGAATCTGTTTGAACATGACACATCGTGTCAATTGGCCTCAGGTCACCCATCTCTGCTCTGTTACATGTATTTTATTATTGTTTCATCATTTTTTGATTAGCTTAAATTCAATTGTTTACTTTGTTTTGACATAAGAAAAGCAAACAAGGTGCACAAGCGCAAACCCATAAAGATAATATTAAAAAAAGCCTTCACTCAACCGATGTATTTTAAATACAATTTAAATTCAGTAAAGTCAAAATTGTATGCCTTACACCCAGTAAGCCCAATAATCCAAAGCGGTTAAATTGTCTTACAGCCTCCAAGTCTGCGGGTGCCTTTGATTGTGTGTGAGTTTGTGTGTTGTATGTTTGCTTCAGTAACTGTATGGGTGTCCTATGTGTGCTGTGTCAACAATGAGGCTTAAAGCGGCATTTTTTTTTTTGTCCCGTCCAAGTGGTCGGCTGCGTAAGTGTGTGCCTCTTTTGAAAATGGTAAGTCGGAGGGCTTGTCATGTTTATATACTCTACCGTTTCAATTTTGTAATATATTTTAAAAATTCAGTGCAAGAGACAAGCTCATTGTCCTAATATTTATGTCGCATTGTACGTATTTGAATTTCAACCTATTTCGGTCTTTTCATTTTATTAAACTGTTCCGAGTGTGCTTAAATTGTACAACATTTATTCAAAATCAGTGAAAGATGGCAATTTAAAGCATTCGATTCACAAATATTTAGCTTAAATACATTTATGTACCATTGTACATATTATATTTCAGTTTATTTCTGGCACCCTCAAAATTCTTCCAATTAATTTGACTTTAGGTATCATATTTATATCTCTAATACTTATTGCTTCAAAAATATGTAGGTTAAGGATACACACACACATTGGCAGAGTATACAAATTGGGGGTCTTCTGCTATTTTGTGTGTATTTATTTTTTTCTTCTTTTGTTTTTTTTTTTTCATCAGATTTAGGTCGTTGTCGCTGTTTCTTTTGTTTTTATGTCGCTCACAGATTGCATAGACTGTATCTGGATTTATCAAGGAAGGTGACATAAAAAAATATCTTGACAAAAAAAATTTAGGATTTTGTTATGAAAGTTTTCTAATGGCTGTGTGAGATAACAACAGCTGGATTTGTACATTTAATAAATTCAATTGAATACCTAATATGAAAATAAATTGAAACGAGTGCACAAAGCTTGTGTTTTATTCCTTTCTTTTACCTTAGCCTTGGCATGCAACTGGCAAAGCAGCGAATCAAGAATCTGCTCAGAATTTATACTGAATACAGCCAAAGTCTATTGAGATACATATATTGCTATTGTCTTTAATACAACATAGCGCATATCGATTACGACAAATGTTGCATTGATAACAACAATTGATAAGAGCAGCTGCCACAACATTCCTTAAAGTGGTTGACCTCTGTTTGCCTTTCAATCACTGATTATCGCTGTTGTCATATTATGTTCCACAGTTGCCATCATTAAATAAAAAGGATTAAATTTCTTTCTGAGTCAATTAGAGTATACTATGATTGCATTGAAACCCAAGTATTGGGCAAAGCATATAAAATTTTTTTAAAATTGCCAACAACTTTATTTATAATGAACCACTTCAATACCTGGTACCTTTTTTAAAGCCCAACTAGTGAATTAAACAAATTACCCAATTCTATGCCACTGCTAGATGCTTTTGCCATACACCATAAAAGTGTTGAGTGCAAAACAAGTACCAGCAACATCAAAACAGCAAACTGAGAAAAAAGAATATAGCATCAGTGCAAAAAGCCAATTAGGTTTGATGGGGTTTTTCAAATGGCAGACAAAGTTTTGTTGCAACAGCGACGATAGCCGCCGACTTTTATGTATGGTGCGCATACTGAAGTATAGACCACGTTAATAACAGTTACACTTTGTCTGTTTCACCTAACAATAATATCGCAAATAAGAGAAACATTCGTGATGCTTCCATGAAAACCTAGTCAAATTAGCAGAAGTCAGGCGCATATTTACTCCACTTATTTTGCGATAAATAAAACAAAAATAAATATCAAAAAATGTCTGCAAGAGATGATGTTCTCTTTTCGAGTTCTCAAAAGTTTTGTTTAACTTTTTTGTCAGCCCAATACAACAGCAAATCAAATATTTAAAGACTCCATAACATATTTCCAATTTCATAAATTCGTATACTCTGATACCGAAGGTTCAAGAGTATATTGGTCTTGAGCAATGTTTTTCGAGCTGTCTACTATATTACTAGGAACCTTCTTCAAAGATCCGTATTCCTTGACTACACCCACACTGTTCGATTGTACATGCTATCAGCCGGTATTATTTATTAGTATAAAAGTATTTCGCAGTCGATTACAGCCGACTGTAACACTATCACTTGTTTATTATATCTGTCAGTCGACTACAACAGCAAGTCAAATATGAAAAAGACTTTAAGCAAAATACTTTGATGGGAGTGCGCACATAAAATGCTGTAGCTTTGGTTACAACATTTATGGATTCTTCCTCACATGCTCGAAGTGATGTTTTTAAGTGAAATATACTCTCTTAAGAAGAAATTTGCATTTAAGTTGCACGAAATTTAGGTTCATTTAGTTCCAAAACATTGAAAATAAAGAATACATCGAAAAATGGCTACTCAAAATAATAACAGTGGTTTTCTCCTAGACTATCAAAATTGTGAAAAATGTATACAGAAAATGCGTACGTCTGCTGATAGTATGAGGATCAATATGAGATTACATTTCATTTATATTTTACAGTTGATCAATAAGTATTATATATAAAGTGTAAAGCTTTACCTAAAGCTTTACCTTTAAAATTGGTGGTCTCATTGCTAGCGGAAATCGATTGTTATCGAAATTAAGAAAACTGGAAGAGCTATCGACAAAATGAAATAAAATTGGTTTATCCAAAGGTACACCAGAACCTGTTTTCTAAAATTGAACTGTAGTTCCAACACTGTTGAAGCATTTATAATCTTGATTAAATCGGAGATGCTTCCTTCTGTCTGTTGCGTACATTTGCACAACTTTAGTATACCGTCATTACCCATATTTAATGGATTTTGGGAAGGATTAAAAAATACATGGAAAATAATCCAAACTACATTTACAACCATTTTCTAATTGTTTGGCTCCTACTAAATTTTAATTTGGCTTTGCATAATTAATCACCAAGTTCACAGCAAATCCGCAAAAACCCCAAAAAATTCTAGAGTTAAGTAAGAAATTAATTATCTAACTAAATTACAGTCGAACGCGGCTTAAGCAGCTTGTATATATAGTTAAATTGTGTTATACAGTTCAATGAGCTGATGCGAAGCTAATTGCATTCCATTAATTAGCAGTCCAGCTAGCTAAGCTTCTCAACTTATGACGCATAGCTGCATGTTGAATGTAATCTCTCAATTGGTTGCACCTCCACATGGATATGGAGGAAAGCAGAAAACTTTTCTAACATTTGATTCTGGCAAGCAGAGTAGGCAAAGCCACTGCTCTCAAAATAACAACCAACTGCCGAGCTGAAAGTTTTGCCACATTCGTTATCAGAATTCGCGTGTTGCCACAAACATTTCTGGAAAAATCGAAAATAGTTCAGCTTGCTGGCAACTATCGTTGTTATTAAAGTTCTGGCGCTAGCACTCAGAAAAAAAATGAGAAAATGTCTTAAAATTAGAGAGGAATTTTTTCATTTTCTTACAAATGTATTTCTTAAAAAACGAAATGCAATCACATATTTTTGGAAAGAAAAATTGGCATCTCTCTTAAAAACATAAAATATAAACTTATAAATTATCTAATATGCTAATATAAGTCTTAAAATAAAAATGACGAATAATAATGTGCTTAACTTTTATAATTTCCTTAAATTAAAATAGGAATAATCTTGGATTTATAAAGACAGAACCTTTTCTTTCAAAAAATATACTTTCTGCGTAATAAGGTGAGTTAAAATTGGCGTCAAAAGTATTTCGATTTTCAAAGTTATTCATGCCAATTATTTTTCTGAGTGTTCGCTTACGGTGAGCGCCTTAAGCTGTTACCAGCTTTTTCTATCATCTTTATTTACAGACAGCAGCACATACATTGTGCCCTACCATAAATGTAGTTTTACTCCATGATTGTTAATCATTGATATTTTTAAATCGTTTTTTTTTGTTTACGATAGTATTGCGCAATTATGTGAAATTTAATAGAGTCAACAAATTTGATATGTAGAGAAATGTGTGCAGGTCACAGCTCACAGCACAGCTCAGCTAAAAATACTATTTAATTTTCAGCAACCATACATACCCTTCTTGGAACATTTTTTATGTACATAAAATTGCGCCAATAATATAATGTCCAATAAGCAGCAAAAGAGCATCAACAATTGTGCGATATATATAAATTACATCTCTTTATATCACGTCACATCACATCCAACTTTAATCATTTGGCAA